GCATGTTCGTGACCCACCCGCCCCTGCATTCTGCCATCCTGCCATTTTGAACTGTGAACTCTGTGAGTGTGTGTGCTGGGTTATAAATTTCCCATATTTCACTATATTAAGTAATAGTTGCCAGGGTGCTGCTTGGCATTCATGAGCTGCTCTCTAGCACTGAACAATAGTGGACTCGAATGTGCCATAAAAGCAGGCACTTCGCCGTAATGAGTTTTAAGCCAAATAACGCTCATTGCATTACTTTGTCGAGCAACGAGCAATATGCGGACTTAAATTTAATTACTCTTGTTCCCGAATTCGACTCGAATCGGCACTCCTGCCTGCTCCGGACCCTCTAATTAGCCAGCTCCATGCCGGAAAATGGCAAATTACAGCTTGCCTGCTTAGCCCTTTGTCCTCTGCCCCACGAAACGTGATGCTGCACTGTGTCCTCCGCCCTCAAAAAGAAAACAAGCACATGCAACAGCTGTCCGCCTGGCACTCATTGTATTTAAATGCTCGTAAAATGCAAAGCAAACAAGTGATAAAAGTTGTGCACATACACGGACACGGCGAGAAATGTTTGTCAGAAGGAGTAAAGCTAAGTAAGAGACTTGTTAAAAGAAAAACAACTAGAATTTACGTTTTAATTATGAATTTTCATGAAGATAAGATTACGAATATGCATCCTAGATTAGGTGAACTAAGACGGTTTTTCATGGTTCGATCTTTATACTGTTATTAGTATAACTGATAACTGGGCAATATTTCCTCGCAGTGCACTTGACGTAGCCACGAAGAGTGCCCTGTAATGCTGGCAACATAAAAAATGCATCAAGCGCTTGTAAAGTCTGCTGCAGGCACTCAAAATCGAGGCAGGGGCGATCGCTAATGTTATGAGGCAGCGTTTCGAAGGCAGCTCTAGGTTAAAGCGCTCCCAGGGAGCTGTCTGAATTAATTTCTGCGTTGTTTTAGCGGAAATATTGAAATTTGCAATTGTTTTCGGTGTGGGTATCTAGAGCGAGTCCCCGCCCACGACACGCCGTTTCACCGTTTTCCATTAACGAAACTTTTTATGTTCGCTCAGAGGGCTCTTGGGTATTTCCTGGCATGCACAAACCAAATACGCGGGCAATTAACCCTTTTTTCCGGCAATTAAGCCCGAGCTTTATGCCACATTTTTCCATTTTCCATTTTCCATTTCGCCGTGGGCCTTTTCCTCTCCGTTTGATGTTTGTTTAACTGATGGCAACGGATGCGAAGGAGGGGGAATCGAATTAAATATATATTAAAATCGTTCAAGGTCAAACGGAATGTAATTGCAACCCAATTTGTCCAGCGATGCAATAAAAATGGCCGCTTAATTGGTTAATATGAGCAACAAAAGTGGCATTACGCAGACGACATGTTGGCCATCGCCATATGTTATGTGTGTCAACTTTAAGAGCCGGCCCACGTAGGCCAATAAAACGCTGTGGGCTTACAGTCGGCCCTGGCTAAGGGCTCTGGATTTGAGTTATTTAACTTGTTCGGCTGACATTTGTGGAGCTAAAAGTTTGTTATTTCTGTAAGTAGGCACATTAAATTGAAAATCTCCAGACGTGACGTTGTCTGGGGACATGTCCTTGGCCATTTTTCCATCGTTAGGCACGCTACAAAATGCATGTGCAGCGGATGAAAGTTTTTCCCAGCAGCAGAAAGCTGACTTACGGACAGAGACAGAGACAAAGGCAGGGACAGAGGCAGGGGCAGGATACATGTCCTGCAGCCTAAGTGGACTTCTTTGTCTCCGCCTAAGTGGTTTTTCATTAGAAGCATTCGCTCTCCGGTCGCTCAAACTTTTCCCCACGGCAAAAGTTTTCACTCGATGCGGATGTAGCAAACAACTCGGCCAACGAATTCGTAATTGGAAACTTTTTGCCGCGTGATATGTGAACGAACCCCAGCCGAACACTCTGGGTATGGACTGTTGTTATTTAATTAAATGGGGACCCCTCCAGGCAGTCAACCCATTTCATTTCCTTCACAATTTCCGGTCCTGGCTGCTGGATTTCCAATCGATTTCAGTGACTAAGCTCCAGAAGTCAGACTCAAGTTTAAACGAGGCTTATGCAAATGCCAAGCCAAGGCCTGCAGGGACTGCAGAAGGACCTCAGGCCAAAAACACGGCATCGTGTGTCACTGTTTATGGGGCAACTGTTGCCCGGCCTCCGGTTCCAAATGAAATTAGATGATGCCGGAGCGGCAGCAGCGGCACCAGACGTTGTAATTAAATTAAATTGCTCGAAGTTGGCATAAAACACACAAATCCTGAAAGGCTGAAGGATGAGGGTTGAGTGTTGCAGGGGCAGGTGGCCGACATCCTGGGCCACATGTGCCGTGTCAAAGTTCACGCTGAATCTGCATGCACGAGCATATATTTGTTGCCTTGGCAATTGTTCAAATGAAGGCAGCTAAAAAATGTGTACATAATCCGGCCAAGGAAAACAGGGTGTGTTTTAAGAAGTAACTGATTTTATTTATAATGAAAATAAAATTTAATTTAAATAACAAATCAAAGTTTGAATATGGAATTATGAAATGATTTTAAGTTTCTTTTCTGTAACTTCTGTAAGCTGCAAACTTTAATCCCCCTGTACGCTGGGCAGTATTTGTTTAGACGACGACTATGTTGCCTTCGTCAGTGCCTAATTTCATTAAATCCCTGCAACCTGTTGTCTGAGCCGATTCGAGGGCAAGGAAAGGGAACCGAACGAGTTCTGGCGAAAAAATTCAATTTAACTTTGCCCGCAAGCCAACTTGAATTTCTGTTGGCTGCAATTGACGGGGCCCGAAAGGAAGCATGAAGGACCTGCTAACATGTGGTTTTTGTGGAGACCCGCCATCGCCTCGTTTTCCCGGAAAATTGTTTCCCCAAGAAAAGGAAGAATGAAGAATGGCAGCGCGTAATGAGCTTAATGGCCGCCATCTGTAGCGGTTTTAAGCGCATATGCAAACGCTTTTCTTTCATTTTCTCATTTTCCCTTACAGATTTTCAGGGTTCCCTTTTCCCGTTTTTTATGAACACTGGCGACGTCAACGAGGCGTTTAAGTGCTTAAAACTGAAAGCCAAGTTTGCCAATTTTTATTGAACGCACATAATGTGTGCGTGCCTTCTCCAGAGAGTCGTTAAAAGTGCGTTAATGTCGCCACGGCTCATTGACTACCGCCTGAATTGGAGACCTCAGCAACCTGGTAGCCTCGAAACCCAACCCTAATCTTATTTGCCCTCTGGCCCACAACCTTTACCTTCGCCCACAACAAGTGCAGCTCAGCTGCTCAAAAAATAGCCCTGCAAAATGTATTGCCAACGTTGGCGGTCACACGACCGCAGAGCGGGAAGTTTTGTTGGATGTTGAATGATTTCCTGGCTGCTGCTGCTGCTGCATCGCTGACTCAACTTGGCCAAGGAGAAATGGCGAACTCTGGTTTTCTGCCACAGCCAGTCACTTGTTGCCCTCGAGGAAGTTTACTGGCTGGCTTAGATCCAAGAGTTCGTTATGCTTTTGTCAGCGACGCCACTAATTGGATTTTCGGTGGGACATAAATTAGACACGACGCTCTGCAAGATATAATTCGGTCTTAAAAGAATTCATGTTTTCAGTTTTATGACTTGTTATTCTAAAATTTCTTTAGAATCATAACTTTTTTGGAACCTGAAACGCCAGAACCTGGTCAAAATACGCGACTTTTTCTAAGTTGAAAATACCTAGCGCAGACATAGCGTTTGTTCTCTGACCTTCGTACAAATGCCAATTTTCCTCAGTCCAAAATCGACAGCGAATGGCATCCATATTTTTGGAGTGTCACACTCATCTCCAGGTTCGACAGATCCCAGTACCCTCGTGGCAATAAAGGAAGAGTGAACATGTCAAGATGTGACACATTTGATTGAACGCATGCAGGCCAATCAATTTTGCTGCCGATGAAGCTGGATTATTGGCTGGCTAAAAGCGAGTGGCCCAGTACTCGTATTTGAATTCGTCGGCATTTGACTGATAATTGAAAACGTGTCAACAAGCCAGCAATTTCCGCTAGCACACGCAGGCTACGTGCTGGGAAGTCGGCTATAAAAATTACATTTTGGCCGAAAAAGTGGCTTACAATGGAGCCAGTGCCGGTGGATTATAGTCAAAGGCCGTGCCTGTGAAAACGCTCAGCCCGTCAGAATTGTAATCGAAACTCGTGCTAGCAAGACCAAAGTGTTATGCATTTATTTTGTATTTTACAGAGGACAGGTGCTAGTATAATAATGTAAAAGCAGGTACAATAATAGTTTGAGCATTTAACTGGAAAAGCTATCTTCTACGACCAGGCTAAATGTCGAGGACCATCCTCCAGGGTATCGCATCTCTTCTCGGAAATCATTTTTAACCTAAAACGGGAACCAGACCAAGTGACAGCGGTCTTCCTGTCGGAGAATATCTGGCAGATAGATAATAACCTTAAAAAAATGTCATTTTGCATATCGGCGTTAACTTTAAAGTTTCCGTTGTTCATATAATAATTGCAAAGTTGAATGTCATGATATAAATAAACATAATAATTACATAAATATGTTGCTATATGTACGCCTTGACTGATAACCGGTTGTCAGCGTTTTTACTCAGCTTTTCCGGCTAAGAACCTCTTATCTTGTAGCTCAAACACAGAAGCAATGACTCAGACGAAGTATTTTAAGGTCCAAGACCGGTAAAAAGGCGTGAAGTTGCTGTTTGCACAGATAACGACGACGTCATTAGTTTTGTGTTACTTCTCTGACCAAAGGGGTCCGTCAGATTTCTTCTTCAATTGCCGAGGTCGTGTTAATCACAATGTAAATTATATTAAACGTCGCTAGACTAGAGGTCTTTTCGTGTTCGCCGATGTTCCAAAAGTTTGATTAGCGATCGTGGTGGCAACTGATAACAAACACCACGTTGGGGTCTACGGAAATCTAATCGATCGCGCGCCAGTTCAGTGTGCCGCGATATTTCAAGAGAGTCGGACGTGTAAAGTGCCCATAAACAGTTTCGGAGAACTGCACACAGCTGTCGGAGCTGAGTCATTGGCCATGAATTTCGCTTGGGGTTTGGGGCTTTTATTGGTTGTGGCCTTGGCGTCACCTGCCCATTCTAAGTGCCCAAAAGAGAGGCAATTGTGTTCGACTAACGGAGATTTCAAACACTGTGAAGAAGAAAGTGAAGAACAGCATTCTCACCAAAAAAATGTAACCACACTGATCTACTGTGACTCAATGTTCTGCGAACCCGAGGAGTTTCAGCATGACTACATCGTCCGTAACCACGACCAAACACCTCACCAAAACAAGTGGAGAAGGGCTAGAGTCGGCGAACGTGCCACTTTGCACGATGTTTGCTTGTTGCGAAACGGGATGCCCGTCACCAGGAAGTGCATGTTGGAGGACTCCCGAGCCCACTGGGAGTCCACGAGTCAGTGGAGCCCCGTTGTGTGTCTCAGGCGCTTCAGGGAGCACACAATCAGCCTGGACCTGAACAGCCTGCACGATGATGTCATCGAGGGCAGGAGACGCACCAATGACACCCAAGGACGTCGCGAGATGAGCGGCATAATGAGGAATATGTTCCGACAGAAGGAAAGGACACTCTTGCCCGCCGATGTCCATATGACGTGCCAGATGTTTGGAACATTATTGCAGCAGGAGAAGGATGCAGCAGTCAGTGTGGATCTGGTCAGTGTCTGCAAGGAAATAATGTCCTCCGACAGCCAGGTTCTGCGACTGTCCGCCCAGCTCAATGCCACCAACTCCCTTCTGAGCGAGTTTGAGAGCTACATGGATGCTCTTCCAGAGCAAATGGTTCCCAAGGATAGATGTGGAAAGGTAGTTCCCAAGCCCTCCAGTGATGAGACGGAAACGGCAACGACTGGAGTCGAGACCTACAACTTCTCGGATATCGGAGTGCAGGCTCTGATCACCGGCAATATCAGCGTCTTCTTCGCCAATCCCGAATGCGATGGCATAACGGGAATCGCTATCTTTTCTGCATCAGCACAGAACCGAAAGAGTTCCCCGAGCGGCTTCTGGTATCGATTTATTCGATTCTCCGAAGACTTGGCTAAGGTAAAGCAGGAATCGGACCTGGAGACAGCTGCCTTTCTTCCAGAGAACCTCTGGCGGGAAGTTCAAGGCAGGAGCGCTAGCTATCTGATCTTCAAAATCTATGCCCACGATGCCCTCTTCGTGGAAACCTCACTGGAAAGGACTCGCAGGCCTCGCAGCAAGGTTATCTCCATTTCGATACCAGAATTAAAAGGTAAGTTCATCACAACAGCTTGGAGTTTTCAACTAATGAGATCTAACAATTAACCAGACAACATCCTTCGAATACCGTTGCCCTTTCTTCTTCGCAACGAAAATCTTCGAGATCCCGATACAAAAGCCTTAAGTTCCGGCAGTGGATGCGGTTTTTGGAACTACGACACTTGGTCCAGCTATGGAGTTACCACCGGTAGCAGCTCAGATCTGCTGAAAGATCCCATCATCGAATGCTACACTCAGCACCTCACCCAGTTTGCTTTTCTCGTGGGTGGCAGTTACCGAACCAACGACCTTGGCGAGGAGGTTCTGATTACTCCGATAAATGAGAAAGTACTGGACATAATCTCCATCGTGGGATGCAGTCTCTCTCTGCTTGGAATACTGGGAATATTCCTCACAGCAGCCCTCTTCAAGAGCTGGCGAAGTCAGGCCTCCACGAAGGTCCTACTGCATCTGTGCTTGGCTATGTGTCTTCAGATGGTGCTCTTCGTGTTCCTGAACACAGATGACATTTCCGAAAAGCTGACTGTCAATGGAGACACAGTTCGCTGTGTAGCTCTGGGAGCTGCCTTGCAGTACTCAATTCTGGTTCTCTTCAGTTGGATGCTGATCATTGCCTTTCTGCAGTTCCAGCGGTATGTCACAGTAATCGGAATCGAAAGACCACAACACTACATCCTGAAGGCTGCCATAGTGGCATGGTCACTGCCGTTGGTCCCCACCCTGCTGGTGGCCCTCATAGATCCTGATTCATACGTTCCCACAGCTGCACAATTGTCAACCGACACTGGCATCTGTTACCCTTCTGGATATGGTCTGATTTTTGGAGTGGTCCTCCCGGTGACCATGATTACAGTGTCCAACCTGGTGATCTTCGTCTATGTGCTGTACAGCATTTCGCACTCCTTGAGCAAGACCATCCATAGATCAGAAAGGAAGATGGTGGTCAAGCAGATTCGACTCTCCATCATGCTGTTCTTTTTGCTGGGCCTCACCTGGATCTTCGGAATCTTCGCCTTCATGCAGGCAGGAGTGGCCTTCTCATACCTCTTCTGCATCACTGCCACCATGCAGGGCTTCGTAATGTTCGTCTATTTCGTCCTTTTGGACTCAGCCAACCGTCGGGCGTGGAGGGGTCTGATTTGCCCCACCAAGATGGACTTGGATGTCCAAAAGCGCACCACCGAGCTCCAGTCCATGACCACCTCATCCACCAACTTCACGAGCAGGTCCCACCATTAGCTTTATAAGTTTCCAGGTCCTAACGAACAAAGGGTTTATTATTAATGTGTCATTTATTTATTAAATATAATCTTAGTTAGCTTCATCTGTAAGCATTAGTCTTATGTGTCCACCTTCAAAATTGTGAAAATAATAATAACAAGGCCAATGTCGAAATGAGAAAGTTTGGTTATAGATTGAAGTTTTAACAGGCAGGGCCAATTATTAAATTCAAGTCATCAACCCCTTGTTTTACCAAGACCTGACAAAGCATGACAGAAACAGGCAAAGTGTGAACTTATTCCCCACTGCAAGGGTTCATTCTGCAGCTCCTGAGTACTTCAGTTGACAGACGATTTCTCTGCCTTCGAACTTCGAAGTTACTGCCAAGAGAAGCTGAGCACCTGGTAAGTGTTGAAGTCATAAAAATTTAAGCAAACTCCAGGCATCTGTGAGTACAAGAGTGCACTCTGCCTCTGATGTCATTGCCATTCATTGGAAACTAAATTAAATGATGTCATGCGGAATGAAATGAACCTGAATTGAAGCCATGCTCGATTGGTATTTACCACTACAACAGGTTCAACCTCAGAAGTTCTCCGTTAACACCCCATCTGCTGTCTCAGAAGGAGACTCTCTTTCTATGCTTAAAGCCATTGGCTGTCGCTGTAATCTGGCTTAGACACAAGTGCCATCGCAAATCCATTTGATGCACTAAATTGCACTTTGAAGTTGGAGCTCTTAAGCCGATTACCTTTTAAACTATATAGAGATACAGCATATTAGTCAATTTTATTGGTCAATTAAAGGCGCTGCTTAAAATCACAGTTTTAAGGCATTACTGAGATGGAGATGGAGGTTCAAAGGTTATTAGCAGTTTGTTATTCAAATAAACTATACAGGCTGAAGAACGCTTCGATTTTACCAACGACTACTAAAAGATATTAGCTTGTTTTGTGGTAAAGTGCGGACTTCCAACATCAGATATCCCGAAAAACATCCAATCTTAGCTAAGCAATAGAGCAGAGATGCGGGAAATGAAAATCAATCGATTTTCACCGCGTACCGCCCATTTCAATTTCGAATTTTCCACTCACGCCATATTGGCACAAACAACCCGGTACATATATCAATTGCAATCAATCAAAAAGTGAAAAGCTTTGAAGTCTTGACTGCATTCAAATGCAGAGACAATGAAAGTGAAAGCAGGACCAGGATTTGATTCCCCTTTCAGGGCTTCACTCTCCAGCTGCCAGGCACTCGGCAGTAGTCAGTAGTAAACTTCACTTCGATTCAGAACTTGTGCCAGTGAAAGCTGAGCACCTGGTAAGTGCCGAAACCCTGCACTTTTTATTCACCAGCCAGGCCACTCGAGAAATGTTTGCCTTTATTCCAGCAGCAATCATTCGAAAACCAAATTAAAGGATGTCGAGTGGAATGAAATGTATTTGGGCGCAGCCTTGATTGGGATTTGGCCACCAGCTGGGCCTTTAAAGGGCCTTTAAGATCAACCCATAGAGCTCCCTTCTGTGCTCTTTTTCTGGCCAAGAATCACATTTTAAATTAGTCGCGCTTACGGCCACGGGCTGTCCCCTTGAAATGGCTTAGTGGCAAGTGCCGTGCGATTTCAAATCAATTTTCTGCGGCAAAGTGCACTCTTAAAAGAGAGCTGCTAAGCCGATTACCGCCAATAGCGACCAACTGTAGCATATAACTAAGCTGTTTGAACAGGTACCGTGTTACCTGTTCGGCTGACGAGCACACAGGTAAACTAATTGTTACTAAATAATGCAGTTTCCCGGGCGAAAGCTTAATATGAATGGGGAAAGTAAGAGGATTGTCAATGGGGAACGTTAAAAGCATTTTTCCGTTTAAGCTAAAAGTAGCTTTTGATATTGTTCCAATATTTTCTTGAAACTCTCAAAATATTTAATATAACATTTTACATCGAGGCCAAAATGTCTAGACTTCTCGGCTAAGAAATTCTTCAGAGCTTACCTTATTAGAAACACACTCCTGCCCATTTCGAAGTTCACCTGTCGGCGGTCGAATTTTTCACACACTCGAGAGCACATCCAAAAGGATAGGCGAGGACATGTGCAACTATTAAAAATTATTTTCCTTTGCGAATTCCTGGGGGCGCACGGGAAAGTATTTTATGATTCGAAACGTGCAAATGGCCAGCCAGGCAAGACTCGCCGTGGAAGCCATTCCTTTGGACATAGCACACCCGTATGTGCGGCTGATATTTGGTACGTGCACCCACAACATGAACCCATAAATATGTATTGATTTTCCATTCTCCTTATCGTTGCCCGGGAAAGTAAGGAAAAGTCCTCGAGTCGCAGGAGCGGCAACAATGGCAGCGGCAACGGCAACGGCAACGGCAACGGCAACGCCAGCAAGCTTCGAGCTCCAAGACAGAGTTATGATTATGAAAGTTTTTTAATGCGCAGCGGAGAGGGGCAGCTCGCAGAATGGAAAATAAATGCGAGAAATTTGCCGCAATTTGCGACGCCCTGGCGAGTCACTGAACCGCAAAGCTGCAGAAACGTTGTTTATCAAATATTTATCGCATTCACATACCGCATTTCGCTGGCAAATTGCAGCCAGACATGCAAATGGCTGAGGAATGCAGTCGGGGCAGACAAAGGAGGACTCCGGTTCCTCCAGTCTCTCATCAGAGATGAGAAATGGCCCGCAATCCAAGTGAGACATGTCTACATCACGAGTTCATTAATTCTTCGGGAACATACAGTGAAGCACAGTAGGACTCCCCGAATTCAGTACGACCCATATGCTTCTGCTCCATTTGGCCTGACTAATGGGCCAGATTCGCCCGATTCTGCTGCCACTGGCATGTGAGCTGCGAAAATTGTGCAAAACGCTCATAACAAATTTGTTATATGTTCGGAAATTTGTCATGAGCATTCGCCACAACAAACAAACATGCAACCTACCGCATGTGCGCCACTCCGCCTGCCTGAATTCGAATCAAATTTACGGCCAAAACAGCCGAACATCATATGGGCTTGGGATCAAAAGAGAAAAAATATGGGCCAAAAGAACACTAGCCATAATTATATTGTTACATTTGAAAAATAATTAGCATCTGCGAAAATGAATTCACAAGCCAGCAGAAAAGATAGATTTTTATTTGTTCTACAAATTTTCTAATATTTTCTAGCAGGCAATTATTTTAGCAAACATTTCCCCCCTGCAGGCTCAGCCAAAACACAGAACAATAATACTCCGATTTGCCCACTAATTGAATACTATATGTACGAGTATAATCTTCACGGGTGAGTTATTTGCGGGAGAATTATGGCCACTACAATTGCGAAATGTGATTTCAGCTGCAACCGTGGCCAAAGGCTCTTGACCAGGCAATTAAAACTGCCAAAAACTAATGCCACCGCAAAACTCGGTTGTTAGTTTTATGGCTGCCAACTGGCCAACTGGCCGCGAAAGTCCTCTCGAAATGTTCCACAATGTGCCAACGGAATCGAGTGACTGTAATTTCGCAAAAGTGAGATGTGAAATGGCCGGGCCCAATTAAAAGCAATCGATTTTTCAGAAGGGCCTGGTTTGGGTCGAATCGAAATGTATTATCAAACAAAGGGCCAACAGCTGCAGCGGCTTAGCTCGGCTTATAAACTTTAAGGCAGCCAAGCCTTTCCGGCCTAATTGTAAGGGACACTTGACGAGCAAAAGGGACTGGCCGCATCAGAGAGGCTGTTTTTTAATATTTTAATTGGGCAACAGGCAAATTAAAATTGTCGCCAACGGCAAGGGAATGTAATTAAATAATGCACAACCGTGGTGGGAGGAAATTTGGAGGGTTAAAGGGGAAGTCGGGCCTCTGCAAAAATTTCCGCTATCTGTTTTGGTGTTAAAATCTGTGCGGTAAACTTACTGCTGGCACTTTGTTGCTTTAAGGATTATAATATAGATAGATACAGAGATGAATAGAAGCCGAACGTATCTAATCTGAGAACGTCTTATCTGGTTTCTTGCCACAGCTTCCCAAACTCATTTCGGCTTTAACTGCCTACCGATAAAGTCGCGGCTGTGTGATACTTATTCTGCAGGCAGAAACAGATTTCTCCGGGAAAGCGTTCATAAATCATCCGGAGAAGTGAAACTAAGGAAGATTTCGAGGTTCTACGTCCCTTTTGCCATTTCATCTCGGAATAATTAAAGCAAACAGAAATGAATTTGTGCACGTGCTGCGTTTAAGAAATTGCTTTTTCCTCCGTTCTCTGGGGCGCTCTTGACTTACCCGACTTTTCTGGCCTTTTATGTTTCGGCTGGTATTTCCTTTCAGCCAGCCCCTATGTATTCTTTCTCTTTTTAATTTTCGCCCGAGTTTGCACAAGTTGCCCCATGCCATTTGTTGCTGTTTTTTGTGTCAACAACACAAAGCCGCACACATCGCCAGCAGTTGCCCCATTCCCGTGCCCCAGTCCATGTTGCGCAACGCAATTCAAGACAATAGTTGCACGAACTTAGCATGTATGTTGCATTGCAGGACGAAACTCCTTTCGGGCATTCATATCTCCCGGTCGGTCGGTTTGGGGCTTAATATGCCCCGCCGGTCCTTTGTTTCCCCGCCAGTTGGCGAAACAATGGAACGCAAAGCGGAAAAGTTTACAATTAGCTTGTCAACAATGGCCCGGCGTACGCGGCGTATGCGTGATGTGCTCGCAATGGCGGAAATCTGCAGTGAACCCTCTATTTTCCAATGTTTCCGGGAAATATTCATAATTGCAGCCAGTCAGCTGGGGGCTTTTCCAGAAAATACTAATTAGGAACAAAGCAGAGAATTCAACTATCTTAAAGTAGAGATTCTTTAGCTTGGAAATTTACTGGTTTCTTGACAATAGGACCTTTCAACTCGTTTATTATATATATATACAGTTGGCTAAGAGAGAGTTCCATATACTCTCACCACTGCTCGATCGATGTCGTAGGCAATCCAATGAGTTTCGAGTAAGTAGTCGCCTTCCGGGAAAGGTAGAACTTTTGTCATTTGGTGATTCACAAAGCTTACAGTCAGCTTATCCACAATGAGGTCATGCTATTATTGGGGAATAGAGATATATCAATCCTGCCAAAACCGAAGGATATACTCACATCGAAGGGGCATGAGTGAATCATATTAGAGTACGGCCTTAAGAATTCCAAGAAGTAATGAACTACGGAATTTGACTTTGGATTTTTCAAGTATCTGCAGGCATCCACGGTGACATTGAACATGAAGGGCTTGTAGCCGTTAAATCGCTTATAAAGAATTCCACGGATCTAAAACATATTTAGAATATTCAAAAACAGCTTTTTTAATTTCAACATCCACAAACCTTGACTTTAGTGATTGGCGTCTTGAATAAATTGACTTTTATTGATACATATTTGTAGCTTCGATTCACCGACTTCAAATGGCAAGTCTCAAAGTCATCGAAGTCCTTATCCAAAGATGTGCAGTTGATGTTGGTAAACTCAAACTTTGAGAATGTCTGAAATTTTGTAAAATATTTATTTAATGAGTCGTTTTAAGCAGTTATAAATTTGGTTTTAATTTAAACTATTTTTGTATTTTAATCCTTAACCTTTTCAACTGAGTAGAGTAGAGCTAAGAGCAGAATAAGTTTAGGACACATCCTTCAAAATTTACTTAACGAAGTAAACTGATACCCAATTCAGCCACAAGCTTGATTTATTAAAAGCCATTAAATTTAGATTTGTAAGGCTTAGAGGCCGAAACTATAGTAGTTTAAAAAGTCCAGACAAATTGTTTTATAATCACTTTTACCAAAAACACATTATGATTTTTTAATAGGGCTAATATCACCTTTTTTGCGAAAAATGGAAATGATTTCCAATATCCAAATTTGATTGCGAACTGACTGAGAATTGAATAACGAGTTCATCGAGGTTTCAGATTCCATGCTTAGACTAATTTTTGTAACTTATCTGTCTTTAACAAAAACTGAGATCCAAAGGTCAGCCTTTTGGGAGTCGAAAAACAAGCTGAAGGAGGTTGTTTTGCTTGTTTTTTCACATAATACATAGATTAGTAGTAGATATTTTATTTAGTTCAATTCATTATTATTAGGAGAGAGTTCCATATATTTTCACCACAGCACGAACGATATCGTAGGCAATCCAATGTGATTCGACTAAGTAATCGCCTTCCGGGAAAGGTAAAACTTTCGTCATATAGTGATTTACAAAACCGATTTCGATTTTATCCACAATCAAGTCATGCTATATTCAGGGAATATGGAATATGTTAATCAATAAGCACCTTTACATCGAAAAACGATAAATATACTCACATCATAGGGACAGGTGTGGTTTATATTGGAAAAGGGTATTAAAAATTCCGAAAAGTAGGCAAATACAGGATTTGACTTCGTATTGTTCATGAATCTGCAAGCATCCACAGTGAGGTTGAACATGAATGGCTTGTAGCCGTTAAATCGCTTGAAAAGTATTACACGGACCTAACAACATTAGAAATATATTTTCAAGCCACTCTTTTGGATGTTGTTATGAACAAACCTTGATTTTGGTGATTGGCTTTTTAAACAAATTAACTTTAACTGACAGATATTTGTAGCTCCGATTCACCGACTTCAAATGGCAATACTCAAAGGCATCGAAGTTGTTATCCAAACTTGTGCAGTTGATGTTGGTAAACTCAAACTTTGAGGATATCTAAAGTAAATGAATATAGAGAAGTAATATCTTTCACATGCAATAAGTTATAGTTTCGATTATTTCTATATTTTGAATCCTTTACCTTTTCAACTGCAAAGAGCAGAACAAAGAGAAGAACTAGTTTACTACACATCTTTCAAAACTCACTTAACAAAGTGATTTGATAAACATTTCAGCTATGAAATTGGTTTATTTAGGCCCGTTAAATTGGGATTTGTAAGTTCCAGAGGCCGAAACTATCGTAGTTTACATAATCTGATCAAATTGTTTAATAATTACCTTTACCAAAAACACATTATTATTTTATAGTTTATTGAAAAGGCATTACCAAATGTTTCAGGCTTGAATCCCACTGGATCCGAAACTAATTTCCAAGCTGAAAACGGTAATGACATTTCATATTGGTTTCTTGAATGCTTGTTTTGTTCTTTGGCTGAAAACTGCGATCTTCAGGTTACTGGAATGGTTATAAAAATCCATAAATTGTGTTTTCTAAAATTCAATAAAAAAAGGATTAAGCAGGTTGTGCTTTCAGCAGGCTAAACACCAAAAGTGACCTTGAAAATTTTAACCATAACAGGTAGTTGAAAAAACCAAAGCCAGCTTAGTGAATCCCCCGCGGCAAAAGCCAAATTAAAACCCCAAAAATAATTGCCAAATTATTTTGGTAAACGCTCGCCGTGCCAAGCTTAAAATCTTTATGCATATTTTATGCTGTGAGCAGCCCCCAATGGAGGGGAAAATAGTGATGTAATAAAAAGCGCGAAATGAGCGGGAAAAGGGGTTAAGTAGCAGGGGCAACATGTTGCCGGAAGTGTTGGCCTGCAATTTACACAGCCAAAGTTGTTCGCTGTTCTCGGCGGAAAAGACTTTTCTTGAAATTGGCGTGTGTGTGCCGGGCGGGAAAAAGTTTTCCAGCATAAAAGGGTTAAGTGCAGAGCCCTGTATTAAGAATCGTGAAAGTTATGCCTGCGCTAGAAAGTTCACATAACAAATATGATGTTATAGCCTTCGCTATCTATTTACAAATTAGTTTTGCAACAATTGTATGAGTATGCCAGCTCAGGCACAGTAGATTTGATCAAAACTCAAACAGTAGCTATCAAAAATCCCCCTGAATAATAAATAATTACGTACCCCACAACATTTAAATTGTATTTAAGCCTCCGAACTGAGCCATTTCGATTTAGTACGTGATCGAAACTCAGATGGCATGAAACTCGGAGTGAATAGTGAAATCAGCGAAGCGAAAAGTCGGATTCAAGTTTAAATAATTATTAGTTTAAAAGCAAATAAGCCAAACGTGTGCCAAATATATTGTCAAGGCTGAAAAACAAATTATATAAGTGTTATCAGATGTAATATATAGGGATTGGGTAAACAATATAAATTAATATAAATATATTAAGTTTAAATGTGAAGAAATTGTTAAAAATATAAGCAATTCAGTGAGATAAATCTAAGGAAATATATCATACAAAGTGGAATAGATCTTTCTCTTTCCCGCTTAACAACCTTTATAAAAATGGTTGAAAAGGCCTCTTTGGCCCAACTCAAGAGTCTGGCATGGGGGCGTCTCTTCAACATGTTCTACATAGAACCGGTGGTGTTCATGCTGCTGTTTTCGCACATGCTGTCAGGTGAGCGGAAGTCAAAATTATAGTTATATACCAACAGCACGATCACCCCATTAGGTACTGTGATGCGGAATCAGATGATCTATCAGACATGCACGGTGATCTTCCAGTATAATGAAACCGACTGCCTGCTCTTGGATAGCAAAAACATCACCCCAGAGCTACAGGTGTGTTCCTATAGCACTTTGATCAAGATTTTTAACCAAGATCTTTAGGCAATTGAGACGGAGCTGCAGGCATATGTGGCCAATATGTTCCTAACCCGCACCCTCTTCGAAAGTATTGTCCCGGCCATTTGTGGCTTATTCGTTGGATCCTGGTCAGATCATTATGGACGAAAACCCCTCTTGATCGTGTCCATGGTTGGTGAGTTTTCAGGGATTATTTTTGATGCAAAAAAGCAGTTAAAAAACTTCCCTCTTAGGCTTTTCCGCTTCTTCTCTGCTTTCCTCTGTCATTTGCTGGCTCTCCAGCTACTTTATGGTTAATCCCTGGTGGTACACAGTGGCGGCCCTGCCACACACTCTGCTCGGCGGATTGTGTGTCTTTTCGGTGGCAGCTTTCTGCTTTATAACCGACACAACGGACACGAAAACCAGACCCTACAGGTGAGTGCCTCACATAATATATTCAAAACCATTATTCATTCTAAAACATTATCTGCATTCTCTAGAATGATATTTATGGAGTTGATACTCTTCGTGGCCCTCACAAGTGGCTCATTGCTGTCCAGTTTTGTTTACGCAGCCACAAGTGCCGCCTTCGTCAGCAGTCTCTCCTGTGCGATCCTTATTTCCGCCACGCTCTTCATTATTTTCTTCTTACCCGAAAGCTTGGGAATGTGTCAGGATCAGGACGAAACTCCTGAAACGAAAGTGGTTGTAACAATCTCAGATGAAAAAGTTAGTGGAACTCCAGCGGAAACTTCAGAGAAACCCGTTGACCCGCCCAAATGTGAGGATTCCGAAAAAACTGCAACTGAGGATAAAAAGGAGGAGACTGGCTTGTTCAGTGTAAGCCACGTGAAGGATATGTTCAGCACCTGCTTTAAGAGGAGGGAGCATAATGCTCACACCATCATTTGGTTGGTAACTTTGTCCGGTTTCCTCTCGATTTTTGTTGTCGGTAAGTGTGCGTGAGTTTTTCCGGGAAACGCAATGATTGAGGTGATGATATCCTGCAGATGGCGTCATGACTGTGATGTATTTATTCGTGCGCCAACAGTTCCATTTCACAGTGCGTGACTATACTATTTTCGAGACAGTCAGCCAATCAGTTCCCATGTTGGGAGCTCTTCTGGGGGTTCTCATATTGAGAAAGGTAAGTGTGCATTAATTTAAGGGAAAATAATATTTATAAACTGAAGCTTCCAGCTTTTTGGAATGTCTGTGGTCTCTTTGGCGCTGCTGTCGCTATTTTCTGAGATCCTTAGCAATGTGGCCAGAGGATTCGCCCATCTACCTTGGCACCTCTATGCATCCATGGCATTGGGCGTCTTTCGGTCCATCCATGGCCCCATGTGCCGTACTATTGTATCGAATATAGTTCCCTCCTCCGACACTGGTGAGTAGTTCTCAGAAAATAACGACTCCCACTACAGTTTCTGTGCAATCATCGCAGGTAAACTGTTTGCAATCGGCAACATTGTACAGTCATTCGCCCCCTTTGGTAAGTCCCTAGTAATCCCCTCGAGTATTTGCCCCATCCATCATGATTCATTCCAGTCGCCGCTCCTCTCTATACGGCCATCTACAAGAGCTCGCTGGCCAACAATCCTGGAGGCTTTAATTTCCTCAGCGCCGCCTTCTACGTAATAGCGTTTGTCCTTATTGGGTGAGTATAGCAGCTATCTATCGTCACACTAAATGATTTTGAATAAATTCATGGCAGCTGGGTGATGCGAATTAAATTCAAGCATCGAAAGTTCTACGCCGAGACGCTCAAGTAGCCAAAGTAAACTGAACTTCCATCAATATTGATTGTGGCCAGTTGGCCAACTTTTCAGGGCTTTGTTTATGCCCAAGTCGAAAACTTTGTGTGGACAGCATTAAATAACTGGATTTATGTGAACGGGTTTTCTGTTTGGCTAATTTAATTTGCATACCGCAGGGGAAATTATCAACCTTTGAAATTACATAATGTTGAAGGATTAACCGACATCCGTCTGCCATTCATGCTAATGGAATTCCAAAATGTCAGGCTCTTCGTGGCTAACAATTTATCGAACTATTTTATTTCATCAACTGGACATAAGTGACTACTTTGCCATGCATTTCCATCGCAATTGGACCTAATTGCCGTCCATGTGTAATGCTTTGTTGTGGTTATTGTTTCTGGTTTGGGGTCCAGGATCCTTGTTGTTTCTGCTGCAGGGACACGCGGACATGCCTTATGCATGAGCTTTTAATAGTGCATAATTTATGGGGCAAAAGTTTGCGCAACATATTCGCAAAGTTCAAACGTATTCGGAGAATCGTTTGGATTCATTTGGTTTCGTTGTGACTTTGGCACGTACCGCATGAATTCGTAATGTCGCCAATGTCAAAAGTTCAGAGGACACACAATTTGCAGCAATTTGAATTGTTAAACGTCAGCTCCCGATGATTAAATATTAAATTCCGACTCTATTATGCGGCCAAAGGTAGGTTGTATGTCGTACGTAGTATGGCGCTTGTGCGGGGGCGACATCCTGCCCCACGTGGCCGCATCCAAACCCCGGCAATCAGTATCGGGTTAACTTAACCCCGCACGAGGAGCGGGAGTCGGCGAACCGAAACCGAGTCATCAAATCACAGCCTTGTCTGCGGAAAACCATTTGTCGTGCGGCATTAAAGTCGAGGGTGCTTGAAAAACGCTTTAATATCGCCGCGCGTGCAGCAAATAAACGAATTCGCAGGACATGAACCCTGCACTTGCACTTGGATCCTCGAACACGCCAACCTAATGGTTATGTCTTTGTTTTTGTCAAAGGCGTTAGCCAAGGGAGAACTTTGATGCGGATGCATGTGCTGCCAGCTGTTAAGCGTTCAACATTTCCGCCGTCTTTCACGTCCCAACACTGAAGAAAATGTCAAAAGGATATATACTTCAAATATATCTTAATTTAGATGATTTTGTTCTTGAACTGTCCAAAGATTTTCCCAGTGCACAAGCTAGTCAAAGTCGCTGTCTAATTGAGCAGCCAGATAAGACGGACATAAAACTTTAAACAGGGGCAACAAAGTAGCGACCACTTCCGGTGGCGATGATTGATGGGCATTTTAGTGGCTCGAAATCGGACGCCGGCTGAGGCCCGTCAACACGGCGCATACGTAATCGTTTATTAAACAAAACAAATTATGAGCTGCCAGCGGGCCAAGCAACATGCAAGTGTTGACGAAGGTCAAGTTTAGCCTTTGCCAAGCTCTGGTTTCTTCAACAGCCGTCAAAAGAGCAAAAGAGCAGTGGGAAAACGTAAGGCCTTACGTTATGACGTATAAGCGGAGTGCTCTCATTTTACGTGGACATTTTCGCTCTCAATTTCCTTCGTGGCTATATAATACGAGTATTGAGCCGAAGTCGAGTTAGTTTGCTGAAGACTTCCACACGAAACGGTCGCCAGTTTTTCTCGGAATTTTCGGACTTATCGCTTATCGTCGGGTCCTCGCCTCATTTTCCGTAGCACGCTTATCAGCGCAAAAGGTGTCGCGTGGAAATGCCGTCGGTGGTAATGCAGTTGGCATAATTCGTTGCCTACTTCTGTGCGCCGCCCCACATCAACTGCAATCCTCTAACAGCTCATTAATCAGGATCCTGCACACCTGCAGCCATGTTTTGGATTTTACGGCGCACCGGCGCCGCCAACTTCTTCAACTCCTTCAACAACAACTGCAGCTTCTCCAAGAGCAACTCGAACGGCGGCAATCACAGCAACAGCACGCAAGGTGAGTCCCTGACACCTGGGCAATCAATTAGTCCAGTTTACTGCTGCAAGAGTCCGCCCTCAATTAGGATAATTCATCAATAATTAGCGGACTAATCTGATTAAGTCTCAAACTTGAGCGAAGTCAACCATAAATAGCCGAAGTCCTGATATCGAGTCGGGGAGTTTATTAGTCGTAAATCAAGGCGAATCAAGTTGAATTAAAAGATACTTATTTGTCATAAATGTTTATAAAGTAAGTAATTAAGAAGTAATAAAAGTGTTAAGTAAATAACAATGTAAGTCTGAAAATCGATTTCCAAAATATTCGACAACGAAATGCAATTTTTATTAGTATCTGAAAACCTAACTGGAGTCATTTAAAAGTGATTGATTTCCAGACTGTAGTTTGCATCTTCCCTGAAATCAGTTAAATTACAATATTTCCGCCATTAAAATAGCATATAACTGAAAATAGAGAATATCCCAGACACAAAATGAGTCATTGATTGAAAGAGAAGACTGCTTAATCGTTCTGTAAACCAACTGACAGTCTTGACTAATCACAGTTACAACTCACCGTATTCCCAAAGTCAAGTAAAGTCAATTGGCCGATCAATGTTCAGGTGCATGTAGATTTCCACGAATTTCCTTGATTCGTATGCCAGACATGCTCCAGCTTAGGCCTGGCTTTCATTCATAAGCCAATCCCCACTCGTTATCAAACAAGTTAATTAAAATTCCCGAAATGACTTGTGGAATATAGGCGCCGAATATATTTATATTGTACTTGCCTGCATACTCGTACTGTTGGCCCCTATCTGTGCTGCTCGGAAAAGTGGGAAAGCCTGGGGGAAAATTTGGGGGAAGGTGAAGTAAAGTAAATAACGCCTACAACCCACGTAGTAATGAGGCTCCGCACGTGTGTGTGTGGAGCAGAAAACGTGGTGCGGATGTGACTGTCGAAAGGCGAACACTTTGGGCCTTCGCTCCCAAGATGCTTTTGTCTAAGCGCTAAGTCTCGCACCCCCACGAATTGTTGGGGGTGAAAAAGGATGGCTCCAGGGGGAGGATTTCGCTGCAGGCTAGCAATCGAAATTCTTAGTTGCCTTTGTTGATTTTCCCACGCGGACTCAAAATGTTTTCGTTTGCATTTTCCCATCTTATGATTTTAAACTACATTTGGATACTCAACCTTTATGGAAAATGTAAAATCAATTTTATTTTTTAAAGATATATAAGCAAGCGAATGAGATTGCAAATGAGTAATCGATCTTTACTACTTATTTTCACAATAACCCTAATGATATGCATGTGTAATTAGCCATGTAAAATATTATATGACTTTAATAAAAAGGCCACAGTAATGTTATGCAAATAGGAAAAGTAGACTTTACTCGTCATTAAACCATTTTTTGTATTATTTTTTAATTAGCAGAAACTCAGCTATCAAATTAAACGTAAACACTGGAAAATCGCAATTAAAATGTTAATCACGAATTTTAAATCGTGTTTGCGAACTTTCTTTGTTTGCGGCAAACAGAATAGTTTTTGGCACTATTGATTTTCCTGATTGGATTTGCTTTCCGCAAATTGGAAACTTTCGATTATGTGTGCGTATAATTATGTCTGAAAAATGCTGATAGCACAGAGCCCCACACTGTTTACTATGAGGAACAGCTGTGGCATATAAAGTTACTTGAAGGGCTTCTCGCACTTGATTTACTACTGCCAGCAGCTGGTACACAAGTGGGAAAACAAGTCGACTTGAGTTCGTGCCGCCCACTCCAGGACATTGTCAAGAAGGCTCGCCCTGATGAGGAAAAACACGAAATATTTAATGAATTTCCCCCAACGAGTGCATTTAAATGGATATGCAAACAATGTGCTTGATGTCATGCCAATAATTGAAAGGCTTTTCGCACATCGCAAATTGCCATTATTCACTTTGCAAACTCGCAAACATTTATGACATTAATAGCAATGACAATTTTTCCAATCAGCCGTGGCAGGCGCGAAATTTAATCGTAAAAAATGTAATTTTCCAACTTGAACAAGCGGCAACAAAAACAAGACGAGGCCCTTAAGCTTTTGTCAACACATGTACGTATGTGTTGTTGTTCGCCACGAGGCAGAAAGGGGGCGGGGCCGAGATTTATATGTGTTATGCAAATTCTGGGCAACATATGGCTGCGGCATTAACCGATAATTATGACAGCCATTTGTCATTTATAATAATGCGTTTGTGCATTCAATTTGTGAGTTTGGCGCGGGCCAAATTGTAAAACAAGTAACGCCAATTAGCCGAGTCGTATTGGGGTTGGCCTGTGGGTGTGTTTTCCTACAGTAGCCTGCAAATTACTAGCAACCGAATAAATCATAATATTACTGATAATGTTAGTAAAGAGAAGAAAATGTAATTTCATATTAAAGTTATGGAGTAGCATAGAAACTTAAAATGATTCTCAAATATTTCCACTCTATTATTTCGAACGCAGCTGTTCCTTGCAGCCAATTAGCTGGGGTCCTGCAGAATGTCTGTTTTGGTTTTGGCTTTTTTCCAGCTTTGTTTGCTTTGGTTTTCTATGTTCCGCTCACTGGCCATCAAATGTGGCCCGTTCCGGCTGCCGGCATCATTAGTTCCTGCTCTCGGCCAGACATCACAAATAATAACAACAACAACGGGCCAAACAAAATGTATCATAAATTATGGTTGGCATTCGACCAGGCTTCGAAAACAAGTATGTACCCTGATTCCATATCCCCCGATCCCCATACCGATCCCTTCCCAGCATGGGAAGAATTATTAGGCATTTATCTGGCGTATTAATAACGCCGGTCCTGTCTGCCTGGTACGCAGCTTTTCTTCGAGGCCATGATTTATATTTTGTTGCCGGCAGGCGGCATCATTTGTAATAATTTGTGCTGTAATTCTAAAGTAAAATCGAGAGAAACTTTTATCTTTGGAGATTACGAGTCCGGAGCAAACTTAAAGCCAGCCCGTAGTCATAAATTTCCATCCGAGTCCCAGACCAGAAAACATTGCGTTTAATGTTAGCAGCTCTCTGCGGTCCACAATTTGGCGATAAAATTGAGTTTTAGTTTGCCTCACGGTCTGCCGCGTTTCTGACACGGCTCCCGTCTGACTTTTCCACAGTTTTTTACTCCATCCGACACTTCCTGCGAATGTTTGTTTCCCCATATGCTCGCTTTATTTCCTTTTTTCGACACACTTTTAATATTCATGGTCGTTTTTTCTCGCCAGCCACAATAATAAAAGCTCCTAATGGTTCTTTATTTATGAGTTTATGATTCAGTGGCCACAAATCTTTTAAAAGACATGAGACCATCATGTGCTGTGGGTGTGGAATGCAAAACAGAAGTTTTTTATCGAATCTCCTTTGTAGAATATAGTGCAATATATGTACTCTATCCACTCCCATCACTTTATCTTTAGTTTGTTCGAACATTTAAAAGCGTTTACGCCGTCTGAGTTGCCAGTTTCGTGTCGTCACGTATACGCACTGTTGAACTCGATTGCAATTAAAGCCAGCACGAAGACAAGCCCACATAATGAGCTGCTAATGGGAGCTCGAGTCGGCTAGTGCGCCATAAAAATCCGGGGGCCAAGTCAGCACACCATCCATTTTTGGGTCCGTAAATAAAGGCTTTGCAGGATCTCACCGCCGGCCACTATTTATTGTCCTCTTCCCCAATCACACACAATGCACAAACAAAGCCCGCAATAAATCTCATTTTATCACTTCGAGCCTTCGAGGACATGCAGGCAAATATAAGGAAAGCGGAAACTCTTTGTCTCAACGGCAGGTCCTCTGTAAATATCAAAAGCGGCACAAAAGCCTCCATAAATTGCCTGATTCATTGAGGAACATTTCTCAATTTCCACGCCTAGCAAGGCGAGCAATAACAAAGAAAGTTTCCCGTAAAGCGGAAACAAAAGTTATGCACTGGAAAAACTAATACATTACAGGGAAAATATGGTCCCGACTTTCTGACAGCGCCTACAATTCAAAAGCAATCAAAAAGCGATTGCTTTTGTTTCTAATTTGGAAACTGGGAAAATATATGAAGCAATGAATTCTGATTTGTTCTGGTAGAGGTGCATCAATTTAGTCTTTAAAGAAAAATAATCAAAAATAAATCGATTTATGCCGAATTTAGTTAATATATTTCCATCGACTGCAACCTTTCAGTAACTTTTCATGGCAGAAAAGCAGAAGCAGAAGTCATACCTTTCAATCCTTCAACTGAATGTATCTTGGACATAAGCCCTCCTTGGAAGGTAGTTTATAATAATCAATAAAATACATTTTCCACAATGCTGAATATATATAAAATATGCTCTTATATGTTAAACCCCACATAGAGACTTCCTCAAACGTAAGAGGAATCCGCAAAGCACAAAAATAAACCCCTGAGGACTTTCTCTACATTTCCCACAGAATGTTTTATCAATACAAACGGGCTTTGGGCTTTTATTTAGCAAAGTTTTTCATGCATTTTTCCACCTCATTTTTATGGCAGACAAATATGTGAAGCGGCCCCCACGGAAGGCATATGGACGCCTGAGTGCCGAGGCCGATGATGCCGTGTCACTTGGCCACAAAATCGATGATCCGTTCGATGAGCTAGACGACTTTGAAATGCTGGCAGCGAACTCCGGCACAGCCGGCTGTAGCAGTCATGCCAACAATGAGCCACCAGGTGAAGCCAATGGCAACGTCAATGTCAACGGTGGTTCAACTCCAGGATCCCGAGGAGCAGTTGGCTGTGGAAATGGGAATGGGAATGGCAACCTGTCACTCCTGCCCTGCACGGATGCCGACTGCCAGGGCAACTACGAGGTGGAGAGCGCCCTTTGCGAGCTGGGCCTGTGCCAGGCGAAAGCCAAAACATCAAAGGAACTCGGCGCTGGGAGCACGTCAACATCGAAGGAGATTAACGAAAACACAATAAGTCGACTGCATGCACTGGCCATGGCCGATGACGATGATGACTACGGTGAGTGTCGGGTTCATAATAGGCAACTGATGAGGCAGGTGTTGCAGTTGGGTTAGCTACAGTGGAGATTCCTTAGAGAGAACTTCGAATACTAGATATTAAATTGTTGTGCACAATATTAGTTTAATAGATGATTTAGCAAGGCAAGAATATAGTTTTCTCTTCTAAAAATACAATTTATTTATCGAAAAGGAACTTGTTTTCCATAACTGAGGATCTACTGTTTAGAGAGTCCGCTTTATATTCCCCCAATTTCCAGATGAATCACTTACCTGCAACGTGTGCGACCGAGCTTTCCATTGTCACCGTCAGCTGGCATCGCACCAGCAGAAGAAGCGACACTTCGGGTAAGGGAAATGCACTTAATTAAGCTAGCTCTCACTTTTCATCTACTTTCCCGTCTTTCTTCCGTGTTCTTCCTCGTTTTTCCCGGCTTTTCCTGGCTTTTCCTGTCTTCCCCCCACCAGATGCAGTGGCTGCGATAGTTTGTTTCCCTCACTAATGCTGCTGGAACACCACAAGGAGGAATTTGAGCATTGGAGCGACGAGGAGATGGGTCGAAGGGTCTGCTGTCGCCGGAACAGGTGCGATGACGATTATTTCACGGACACCGACTCCTTTATCAGCGATGCGGAGAGCGAGGACCTGGAGAGGCTGTTGTAAATACCGGACACCGAACCGAACCTAACCCAAGGATAGCGACTGAAGGGATGGCGGGAAGGGAAAGAATTCGAATCGACCCAGCCGAAAAGCAGCCCGTCCATTCCCATTAATGCTGGGCGGAATATCCTGCGGCGCCAACTGGAATGGAAGGATTTGGGAGGACAACGGACTTGGGCGCCAAGTCTTCTGATGAAGATTGACACACGGGGCGGACCGCTTGTCGCCCTAATGAAAATGAATTAAACCCCAATCTGGCTGAACGCAAAGCCGCCAGCCAAACAATGAAAAATGTTGGCTAAAGCCCAATACCAAAAACCAAAAAGCAAAAACAAAAAGAAAAGGAGACGCCAGGACAAGATATAAAATACTTGTGGACTGTGCGTTGTCGGTACTTTTAGAGTTCAACTACGAGAGACCCTCGCTGGGGGTCTAAAAACCAAGTTATATATATATATATGTGTATATGTAAATGTATATCTATGTGTGTGTACAATGAGCTAGTCGAATACGAAACTCCATAAATGGAATCATATCATTAAATGCATATGTGTAAGCCCCAAGACAAATGCAAACTATTTACCAAAGGAAAAACCAAAGGAAAACCCAATGTATTTTTCAATAAATAAAGCCGTGCGAAACCGAAAGCATGCTCAGCAATCTGTGCTCGTTCATTAAAAATCTCATAAATTTGCAATTATTGCCGGACACTTAAGGAAAATGGCCAGCAATTAAAATTTCAGATTTCTCCTCCTGAGCTCATAGGAAAGCCTCCATACCGGGGGGGTGGGCAGAACCAAAAACTCCACACCCGAAGAATAATAATGCCCCGTGGACATTTCTTAAATTATTCAGCGGGTGGCTTTATTGTGGCATCATTAAAACTTGATTGACTTGATGATGAGACAATGAAGTGGGCGAAATCAGCGCCTGGCTTTGGTAGGCGAAAACTTTGCCCGCCTTCAAGGCCGTTTAAGCTCGCTCGCAAAAATAATTTCCGCCGCAAGAGTTCAGCATTAACCTTGAACGAGCTCCTCTAAGTACTATACATATTTGCTAATGACTCTCGCATTTTGGTAAGCCATTCCGTTTGGCCAAAAGGGTTCATATTTCGCTTTAATGGCCATCGAGCTGCGATAACTGCTTGGCACGAACATTCCGTTTGAACTGCTTAAGGTAAATTGAACTGCTTGAACTGCTTGCCCCCGGCTATTCGCGTTTTTAGCAGTGATCTTCGTTTAAATGGCTTTTCTTTCTCTTTAATCATTTATTACAGCACTTAGATATGATATTGCTTTACTTTATAATAAATCCATTTGGGAAATTACAAAAAATCGATATATCAGCCATAAACAAGACATAGAAGAAGAATTGTTTTAAGAATGCCATCAAATTTTGGCATTTAAATTTGAACGATGTTCATGCTCTCCCTCTCAAGGAGCTTAGGAGTGTGTATTTCGAATGAAATCTCCCTTCCGCTTATCTTTTCGCATACATTAAACGAAAAAGGAATTGTATGTTTTGGGTTTTTGATGACGACTTTCGCCGGAAGAGGAAATCAGCCATCGGAAAGCACCAGAGGGAGCGGGGGAAGCCCAGAGGAGGGACAACACGAGCTCTCCCCTAACAGATAAGCAAATTCATTTCTCTTGCTCGACCAGAGAGGCGAATGAACCGGAGTGATGGCCATTGCCTTGCCCTTAGAAAATCCATCGCAGGCACGTAAAATGGATTAGCAGAAAGTTTTCCACCGTAATTCCTGCTCCGACATTCATTTCCCCACCGAAACCTGATTGATGCTCCATCCGGAGAGCGCACTCCTAGAAGGCAAACAAAAGGTTTGGGTGAGCATATGTCCAGGACCACCTCGTGTGGACAGCTCATTTGACATTTTGATGGATGCAAAGCCATAAAAGGATCTCCACTCCTGTCTGGTGTAAGCATTAAATTTTGATTTGATTTTATTACGGCACTCGTAAACATTTTATGTGTACATCATACGCACTGTTGGCCAGGCATTTACATAAAAGCCAGCCGGATAGACAAACCACAAGGCCAGCGCCATGTTTATGTGGCTACATATTAAAATTCGCTTTCCAGAGGCCATTCGAGAGCACGAATTTACATAAACCATTAAGTGTCCTTTCAGCAGATGTTTCTTCTCGATGAGGTAGACCTTTGATCCACCTCAAATTGCATTGCCTTCATTAGTAGCCAAGTAGGATTGCAGGCGGCAGTAGAAGAAAATTGCATTTCCGCCGCTTCCGTAATCCCCTGACAGGCCACAAAAGCCGCAGACAAAGTAGGGAAGACTTTTGCATTATTATCGGTACACAGGAAAAAAAGGGGCTTTTTTGCATGCCAATCAGGCCAATTTGTTACGTGGCAAATTGAGTTTGAGCCGGCAAGCAGTCTAAGCCCTTTTTCGTGCCTGCAAGGCCGCGTGGCACCGAGGCAACCATTAGCTAATTAAGACGCTCCGAGTTGCCTTGGAAGCCACCCACGAAAATACACACACATTACGGGAGCCGCAGACAAAGGACTTTCGAAGGCGCCACCAGAAGGGAAATTGCGGCGAGCACAGAATTTCACACATAACAAAAACTTTGGAAAACCAAAGAACAGCTGGAAACGGTGGAAAAACTATAAAATGAGGAGGAGCCACTTCTTGCCACGACCACGAGTCATCCTCTGAACGAAATACTTGGAATTCTTGCCAAAGACTTTTTGCCTAGTGCGGCCTTAAATTGGTCAGGAAATTATAATTAGAAGCACTTTACTTTTTCTGAGTATTTTAAAGTCAAATTTAATTTAAGATCAAGCTATGTATTTCTGTCTGTGCACATGAACATCAGCCTGATATGAGTTTAAATTCAAGTCGGCAAAGAATAACACATTCCCGAACATCGTACAAAATTTTGAAAGCTGGCTAAATCAAAGGCAGCCACAAGCAGCTATTTTCAGTCTTCAATTTCCGCAGAAACGCGGGACTTGCGAAGTTAATTAAAAACCGCTGACTGTCATCCTCGTTTTGTCGGGCGCAGTGCGAATGCGTTTGCAAATGATAATTGTTGGCACGAAGCAGGAACTGTGGCACAATGGGTTAATTAAATACGCCAAGTCATTGTTCACTGCACGTCGGAGCGAAGCTGGGGAGGGGGTGTGAAAATCTAGTTAAAAGACAATTTCAATTTTCTCGCTCATACGTGTAGGCCTCCGGGGGTTAATTGTGCAATTGCTAATCAGATAGAAGGGTGTGCCAGAGAGCCGCACTTGCACCTGAAAAAATATAGAGCTGTTTCAGGTGTTTTTTAGATAGGTTAAGGTTTTTGTCGTAAGTAACCTTTTGGTAGAGGATATACTCGTACACATTAAGATAAAGTTGCCTTTCCCTCACTGCAAACATTGTATCTACAACATTGAGTATGCATCAGTTTTTCCCTCGAGTCCTTTTCACTCCCTGAATGTAAAATGCAGACGTGTTCATAAAAAGCTCACTCCATCCACAGGCCAGGAGTTGTTCAATGTTCATTGATTAGGACGAGGACATGAGGACAGAGGACACACACACACACAGGACACCGAGGAGCAGGCAATGATGTGTATCAAAGTGTGTGCCTAAGTGTAATGCCTGATAATTGAAAACAAGCCGGCAAAAGCCCGTAGAAAGGCAAAGGAGCTGGCAAAGTAGCAACTACAAGGGGTTCGGTATCTACATCTCGAGAGCCTTTGGAGCCCAAAGCAGCTCGATGCCTTTGCTAATGGAGGAGCTGTGTACATTAAAGTCGTCCTTCGAGCCGAGTTGATAGTTTCCCCCAGCCTTCAGCTGAGTTCTTGGCATGGACAAATATTAACTGAGAGCGCAGCTCTATCTCCGGCCAAATATTTGATTTATTTAAGCAACGACGGATGGGTAATCCAAGCTCACCTTAGGGCGAATTTGTGTCTCCATGTAGCCGGGAAATACAATTTTCGGCAGGTCCATAATGTGATTTGGGCTCTTACACTGAGAATGTGAATGGTGAGAATTGCTTTATAAAAATGATTAAAAGGCCTTAAAATATATTGTTTGCTGACGTTACACAACCAATTGACTTCCTTGAACTGCACAATTCAATTACATCTTGATGTCGTAATGGAATTTAATAATGCAAGCACATATCAATTTCCGGTCGCCGGAAGTGACTGTTTAATTAGCCTCGCTGTCTCGCAACAGCAGCCGAAGTGAGTGTGTCGTTAAAAACGGATTTATTTTTGCATTTTATCATAAAGTAAGCATTTTTAATTAAATTGATGTGGCCATTTATGGATGATTTTCAGCCGTTTCATGCACTCGCGGTGGCTCTCGTCACGTTTTTCAGCTGCCGCAGAGCATATTTTGTCATGTCGGCTGACATTTATCACAGCAGCCGGCGCCGCAGCAGCAACATCCGCAGAATCCGCAGCAGCATCCGCAGCACATCCGCAGCTGAAAAAAGATTATTGACAAATATCAATTTGATGCACTGGCAGCGTTTTTGCTTCTACCAGCAATATGATAAGCAGCATTTGCCTGACGCTGATTGATGGGCCAAAAGCGTTGGTCCAAAAGTGATTTTTTGGCTCTCACTCTAGGCCACGCCCACGCAATCGACTCAGCCTCCCTAAAAATCGTTCTGATTGATGTGCAAACAACATTATTTTGCTGCATACTTCCAGGCGGGCGCATTAAAGCAGTCCCTTAGAGTTTAGTGTTACCGTGTTTGCATTTGTTACTGCTTGCACAAGCAGTGTGGGTGGGGAATGGTGGATGGTGGGGAGGACTGTTTTTGTGGGCAAGGGCCTTCGCCTAATGCCGCTCGCCATTAAAATCATCTTACCTTTCCCTCTCTCAGCTGCTGGCTGCTGTGGGCGGGGTCACATTAAAAATTCGAATATATTTCGGTTAAACGAGGCAGGTAACATTGAGTAAGCAACTAAGAAGTTTCAGTGCTTACCTAGCGAATTCGGGATACACTGGGCAGTCTTCAGTTTATAAGGATAAAATAGAAATAATATATGATAGCTTATAGTACATAAAAGCTAAAAGGTACACAACTCTCTGTACCAAAGAGAGACCTCAACACATTTTCATTTTAAACTCCAAGGAGATTTATTGCGACAAGCCCATTCGCACACTACAAGATGTTAAATCTAGAGAAATGTCTATGATTTGGTCCTGTGAACAGCATCGCCATCGCCATTCCATCTCTTACACCCCCGCTAGAGTATTAAAAACGAAACGAAATTTCAATTTACTTTCAAGTCGGCAGAAGGAATGTAGCTTGGCTGCGGCTTTCGCATTACATTTAACTTTTCTCGCCTTATATTTTATTCAAATGGCTCCACATTATTATTTCCCTTCTTTTTGTTTCTCGTCCGCCAGCATCGCATCCAGCTCCGCAGGATAACTTGAGCCGCTTGAGTGCCTGACATTTTCACATTTTGCCGCCGTTAAAAGCGAAATTGCAGAGGAAAACAACAATAAGAACGCGGCCATTACCCGGGAAGCCCCTATCCCCATCCATTGGGCTCGCTTTCCAATTTTCGGCACACTCTCCGCCGGACCAAGTTGGATTTTCCGAGGAGGGTCAGGGGTTCTCAACGGCCATTAGGCGGATCTCGTGTGCAGCTTAATTTGAATAACATTTTCCCAGGTGCTAAGCCCACGTCTAATGAGAGTGTCCCGTAAGCTCCACCTCCAATCAGCCAACTTCTAAGTGAATTTAAACTGAGACCGCAGAGGGAAAGTTTAATTGAGTTACGGGAGTTACGAGAGCACAAGGCATCAGAGTGCCATCACGCATACGACCCGTTGCATGACCAGGCGCAAAAGCAGAGATGGCCGAAGTTGGCTGCAAACGTCATTAGTTTTAATAACATTTAAACAAGCCAAACGAAAATGGATGTCCTTGGCAGGACCCGAACGGAGGCCAGGCCATCACAACATTTGTTTTGCCTTCTTACCCGTAATGAGGAATGACATTCGCATTTGCTGCTTGAATGCACTTGGCTCTGATTCCGATTTGCCACGTGAGCGACTCTCGGGGCTTCCTTTAAATTTATTACATCACTGAAGGCTGCATGCCAATCATCAAATTGAGTTAATTAAATTATCCCCTATTCACCAGCACGCAATTACTGGGAAGGTGGAGCAATTTACATTGAGATTGAATGGAGAAATTATCAAAATCATTGAACGGAATGAAATCGATTCATGGAAGCTTAGCTAGCATTCTGTATTTAATGGTAAATTATATATGTTTACTTATTAGATTTTAGTTTTTAGGACTGCTTAAGACTTTAATGATATTTTACTTGAGTTCCTTATTGCTTATTGAAGGCAAGCAGTAGACAACCCCACAATGTTTTGAGTGTACTCAGAAAGATAATTCAATCACTCAATCAAAACAAATTGAAATATTAATAATGCAATCTCATTAACTGATTATTCATTCCGTCCAGGACTTTTCAAGTTCCTTGTTTTAGCCCCGCGGAGCTTTCGATACTTGGGCGCAACTTTTTGTGGCGCAATAATTCCATCAAATCTTCTGCCCAATCGGCGAAAATAATTTACATAATTAGTGAGAAAGCGGCCGGCGCCTGGCACCAGCTGGGAACTGAAAAGGAAAAGAAGCGAAAAAATTTGAAAATAAACACTGTACATAAATTATGCGAGTAAATAAAGCAAGGGTCTCGCTAAATGTGTTAATTTGCAACTTTCGAAATTAATGCATACGCCTATAGATGGATGGCTGCTGGCCCTCGGCCATTTTATTTGCCGGCCATTTTGGCATGGTCTTTGGTTTTCGGTGTTCTGCTCTTCTAATGTTTCTTTTTTCCCTTCCTGTTTGCGCTTCAATTAACAACAACTTGTTACAGGCGCAAATTGAACTTAAGCTTCCAAATTTAAATAAATAAAATACAGGGCGTGCTAAATAAAAAACTCTGAGGAAACGGCAAATAAAAAATAACGCGTTCCCATTCGAGGCTGAGTGTGATTTTCATTTTGTTTCAAATTGTTTTGCCCGGCGAAAAACGAAGTGAAATACCCGTTTGGTAGGCGTCTGCTAGGTGTTAATTCCATTGGAATTTATTTTGGTTTTACAACGGTTACAGGTGCCACACGGCCCACAGCCCACAGCCCGGGTGTAGACACCCAAAACCAGACATGAGCTGCCGAGTGTGGGAAACTGTCATAAGCCACGCCCGAACTGAGAGATGTTAGCCCTGTGCCAAGGCCATTTTTGTTGCCTTGTTTTCCAGGAAAATCAAGGATATTCGGATTAATTCCATTTACGGGCAAACTGTAAATTGATACAAATTTGATTTGGTTGCTTTCATTGGCTGAAATTCTATGTATTTTCAAATTAAATTTGCTTCCATTTCGCATTTTATTTTCCAAGCAATATTTTATAAGCCTGCCAACATTTAATGTAAACCAAACACTTTTTAATTTATTTATATAGTTTATTGCTAACATTTTAACATTGCTTATACTTTGCCGTATACTTTCTGACCAATTAAGAGTTATGTCCTTAGGATTACGAATTACAACTACTAGTTTACGTTGCTCACAATTAGCTATGAACTCGGTGTTTTTGTGTTCCCACGAAAACTTCGGGCATTTCCATTTAGATTGCATGGTCATGGCTTTCCTTCGATTCTTACTGGAATTGCATATTGATGGGGCAAGGAAATAATGCAGCCATAAAGGAAAATCGCAGCGATTAGCTTAAATTGCAGGGAACCTTTGAAAAGACCCTCGGGCCAAAAAACACACACATGCACAGCTCCCCACGCACACAGACATTGCACAGACAATAAACCAATAAACGAAAGCCATCTAAGTGACCCATAAAGAGGGGAGGAAACGGAAGTGAAGGGGGTGGTGTGCACAGAGAAAAAGAAGGAAGTCTCACTTTCACAACAAAGAAGGCCAAAATTATGTTAAACTTTTTATATTTATAATAATTTATTATGGGATGGGGATAAATATCTAAAATAATATTCGGATATATATTTTCATTCAAGATTTAAGATGAAAAACCCAAAGTACATCTAGGAATGCCGTGCTTCTTGTTCTAGGAATTTATTTAAGTAGCTTACAAAGTCCCCAAAAAGCTTATCTGTACAAAATGTGCCAGCTGCTATGGCCCTTTTCTTTCAGTGCCCCCCAACAAATGTGCAAATGAAGTAGCTTAGGAATTGACATAAGGGTAAGTGCCCCACAGATGATGCTGCGATGGATTCTGGTGATGCTGCTCCTGCTGCTGGGACTGCAGCTCCTGTTGCGGTGCGGGGTCACTCAGAGTGGGGGTCAGGGCGGCTGCCCCGTTGGCATACGGTTGCTGGTGGGCGAAGTTGGGGGCCAGGTTGCTGGAGGCTGCGGGGGAGTAGCCCAAGTGCTCGTAGTACTCCACCACCGGCTGCGAGCTGGCGCTGGAGCAGGCCGAGGAGAGCGAGGCGGAGGAGTTCAAAGGCGGCGAGTGGTGCAGCGGGTGGTGCAGGGGGTTGTGCGGATGGTGGTGCTGCGTCATGGGCAGCATTTGATCCATGAGATACTGGTCAATTTCCTTGGGATCGATGTCGGTGGCTGCCGGCTTGTAATTTAAGGCTCCACTGGCCTGTGACGCCTGCTGCTGCTGCTGCTGGTGCTGTTGGTGCTCCTCGCCGGCGAAGTGGTTCCCATTTGTGGGATATGAGTAGCCAGGGTAGCTCACCCGACTGCCCGCATAGCCCCCATACCCGTTGATGTTCTCCAGGAAATCCATTTCCTGACCTCCTCCACTCTGAACTCCCGCCGACTGTCCCTGATAATTGACCTCACCTAGGGCCACATACTCCCTGCCAGCCTCGAGCAGTACTCCATAATCATGGCCTCCATTGGCCACGGGCTCGGAGAGCTGCCTTAGCAAGAGACTCGAGTTATTTGCTGCTGAGGATTTCCCGCTCGAGGGGGCTCCACTGTAAGGCGTGGCCGGGGGCGTCAAGGAGGACAACGAACTGGCCGTGGAGCATGGGGAATCCAGGCCAGCTTCGATGAGACCCTGCTCCATCAAACTGGCCGCACAGGCACTATTCAGGGATTTCATGAAGGCCTCATTACTGAATACATCGGAGGAGCTTGTGCCCACATTAGAGCCGGAGATGGTCGAGGGGCAGCTTCCCAGGCCAGCTGCATTTGATTTCCCGGCTCGCCTTTGGCCATTGGTCGTGCTGCTCCTTGGCTTTGCGTTTCCGGGAACGGCTGATGAACTCATCTCTGGTCCCGGGGATCCTCCCTCCCCGCTCTGCTGGGCTGGCATCACCCGCGCCTTTTTACGACGCGGCTGGTACTTGTAGTCTGGGTGCTCCTGCTTGTGCGTCATGCGAAGCTTCTCTGCGAATTCCATAAAGGGCTTCTTGTCGCTATCCTTTAGATTTCTGTAGAGTAGAGAAATAGTATCAATGGGGCTCATAATGGGAGAATGGAGTTATGAGAGTTTTTAGGGGGAACACTTTTGGGAATAGGTCCATTGACTCTGATCTACCTTCTAAGAATTTCATCATAGAATGAATATGGAAGGGGTAGCAAAGTATATAGAAATACATTTTACATCTCCGATTGGATGAATCACAATCTGCCGCTGATCTCTTTCTTCTTGATGATTGCAAAACTGTCAGGCCAAAAGGCGATCTGCGCCCAGCGGCGTCGTTTTCGTATATTGTTTGTAATAAAATATTGCGCGGTTCGAAATTAAAATTTCACAGTTCAGCGGCTTGGGCCTCAGGCGATAAGAAGTGGAATCTTCTACTGATAAGAAGGCGAAGCATCCGCCTCAGCTAATTGGGAATCCGAGCTGGGCCGATGGGTTAGCCCATAAATAAGCCCGGAATAATTGACTGTCACTGCAGCACAGAAATCTCAGCAAGAAATAAATGGAAATTGCGTTGAAACGGAAGTGAATGTTTCAAACCATACATTGAAATGGAAAATAATCTAATATAATACCGCTTTGTGAGTTAATAAAACCGCAGTTCTCCCTAATAACTGAGCAACAGGTAAACCTAATGTATTTATCTTGACTTCTCAGATGCTGATCTGACTTTATTTGCTGAGCCTCAGTTGGTACTCAGTTTCCTCAGAGTAGCCGGTGTTATTTCCCAGAAATGTCTGCAGATGCAATTCCCTGTCTCGTCGGAAAGCCCTTAGCCAAACGTGGAGGGCTTTCCCACTCTCCGGGTGGCTCCTTTGTCTGGCCAAGAAGTGGAGCTTATAAAAGACACTTTTCAAGTGGTCCATGCCCCAACGTTTACGCAGCCGGAGACGTGTCTCTGTTTTTTTTTTCATTTTTCCCTCCTATTTTTCCTTCATTCCGAGTGGTGTATATATAGAAAAGCTGAGAAAAGCAGAGATGGTACTTGTACTTACTTCCACAGCTTGCCCAGCGATTTGCTTAGCTCGGAGTTCTGGAGATGCGGATACTGCTTGGACATGACCCGCCGGGCAGCCTGGGCCCAGACCATAAAGGCGTTCATCGGGCGCTTGATGTGCTCCTTCTTGCGGTCCGTGGGAGCCCTGGAAGGAGATGGAGAAGTGCACAGAAATCAGTCAGAGGCTGCAGTGACTTGTTGGCCGGGTAAATAAGTTTTCATTAATGACAGGGTGACGTTGAAGACCAAAAAGCAGCACAACAACGCCTAATGTCAAGCTGAAATTTGCAATTAAAACTTTTATTTGCCTTGACAAATAGAAGATAAGAAATGGCCCCAGGGCCGGAGACCAGAAAAGTTCAGAAGTGCAGTCAAAAATGTATTTTTTAGAAGAAGAAAGAGCAGCGGGTAGTGGAAAAGTGAAGTGCAAACAAAAGCAATCAGCAAAATCGTGCAAAATTCCAAAGAAGTGGGCTTTCGGCGGATGGAAATCTATTTCAGCTGTGCGAAACAGCATTGGGAATCCTTTAAGTGGTTGCCACAACTCTTGACTTTGCATGAAGTATGCAACGCTCCCTCCTGCCTCCGAGTGCCTTTCCAGGACTTCTAAATAATTCCATTGACAAAGCAATACAAGCTGGTCCAAAAAGAACCGACGAGGCATATGATAACTTTGAGCATTGTGGTACGAGCATGTACTAAATTCGATATACATATGTGCACTGCTCAAAATGCTAAGAACTAAGATGGGGAGTGAAGTGTTACTAAAAAGATTTATCAGCTTTTAAAAGTAAGTTTCTGTTTTTTTAGGAATATTTATAGAGATAGTGAAGTGCATCTTCTCAACTGTCTTTTAACCTAGATTAAAATTGGATTTCCTCTTACAATCTTAAATGGACTCCAAACTAGTGACTCTACTTCTGTAGCAGTGTTCCAGCTGACACCTCCCAGCACCCACCCACATTGTCTTTATCTACGCATTCATTTTTATTTAGCATGTCAAGCTCCGAGGAATACAATGAAGACAGAGATTCAATCAAAGAGATAGGCGTTCCAGGGGGCGGGACACTATGGCCCGATGCCCGAGATTTCCCTTTGGCTGGCCCACCTTTTCGGAGGCTCCTATATTGAATTATTTATCCTAAGTAAACATGATCAGGGAAGAGATTTGTTTGGTAAATCTTCCAATTGAGTTGGGTGTGCGTGGCCGAAGCCCTCGTGGGCGGGTTTATTCGATATGCCTGGCTGCATTCTATGCCTGGCCGCAAAAATAGAAGAAGCTGCTTTCAATCAGAGCAAATCAATGAGCAGGTGCTCTCAGGTGTTGCCTCAAATTGATAGCAAGCTCAGTGGGAAAACACAAAATATAAAATCAAAGTGGTGAGCATGAACATAAGACTTTGGCATTTGGAAAGGAAATGATTTGGGAAATATTTTAAAATTCGAATGTTACCAATTTAGAGTAGATTATTAAACTCTCTCACTATATCTTATATCTTAAGTTCCCAATCAAAAATGTATCCCAAAGTATGGGATTTCCTTCTTATACCCAAAACCTTTTTCTGCTGAATAACCATAAAAAGTCAATAAATTTTTGCTAGAAAGGACTCAATTTCATAAAGTCAGTAAAAAGGAAAACCTTAAAAGTAACTAAACAAAATAAAAGGGAAGGTGGAAAGTTATTAATTTCCCGGGTTAGGTGAAAACAGCCATATATTTTTCATTTCCCTTTTCAGAATTTCCTTTTTAGCCGCTTTTGGCCTGGGCTTAATTACAAGTTCGGCCGAGCTTATTAAGCGATTAAAAACGCGACCGGAGGCCAAATGGACATCGTCTTGGGGTTTGTTATCTGCCTTCTGGTATCGTCGGCGTCGTGGCCCCGCCCCCGACCAGCATCCTATGCAGCCGCCCTCCCCCGCCCGAGTCAAAAATATCTGCCAGAATATATATGCAACTCTCACGCTTGACAGCACGCTAATCAGAATCAAGTGATGTTCGTTTTGCTGCACTCAGCTCTGGGACTTGGGAGGTGGCGCAGTGCTCTCAGGCCTACACAGCAAGAAATTGTGGTCGCTTTTGCAGACTTACTGAGCTTTAAGTTCCTGATTTTCATTCATAAGTAGAAAAAGAACAAACTACCTTCTATTTATGGTTCTGCGGTAAATATTATTCTGAGCACGTAAATTTGAATGCTGTGAGATTTCTAAGTTTAAAAATATTTCTTCCTATGCACCCGAAGAACCCCCAGAGCTGTATGTGTAGCAGATCCCCGGGGCACTTGGCAACTCAAGCACGTCTTCATTATTTGCTGCTGTTGTTGCATTCGGAGATGCGCAAATCTCATTAAGTGATATCTTCAAGTGGCCGTTAGCCGATGAGCAAATATGAGAAATGAGCGGAGACGGCCAGGAATTTTGAATTTGCAGCTTTCCATTTTTCGCATATGCCAAAGATACAAAGATACAAAGATGCGAAGATACTCTTCAGCTTTTGTTGCGCATCTTTTATCGGCAATGGGCCATTTGCCGCTTTTGTTATTAAATTTCCCAGCGGGGGAGGAGCCCCAAATATTTACAGCTTTAACACGACGCTGTAAACATGGCACGAAAATTCCCATTTCCATTTCCATGCCCATTTTCATTTCCAATTTGTAAGCGCATGTCAAAAACTGGGGACAAATGCGCCTAATTAGCGGCAGAGACGTCTCAGCGATTTTCACAAGTTCACAAATATGAAATGTATCTAGCAGATACAGCGCGTGTAAACAAATTGCAGCCGCCGCAGCTCGTTGTTTTTTTTTGTATCTTTCGTTTTATTTCTTATTTGCTTAGGCAGTGCCACATTTTCCCACGCAGCCGCCGCCTTTTACGACACTTTTGTCAAACAAATTTAAAATGCATCCAACGGATGCAGTCGCCTGTTTGCTCTGCGGTCGGTGGGCCTTTCTTCTTTTCTGTTTTTCTGTTTTTCTGTTCCAGTCAGGCCGCAGAGTTTTCCCCGAAGTTCGTCCGAAAAGGTGGTCAAACACCAAGGAGCCCTGATAAGGTGATAAGGCGGTGGCACTGCCCCTTTTTACCACAAAGGGGATCTGCTACCGTGAGAGTGGTATCTGGGTTTGCTCGGCCTTTGTGGCAGCCATTGGCCAGGTGCACTGGAAAAATGGTCTACAATAATGGAAGATCACTGCAAACGAGTTTGTCAATGAGTTTTTCATGGAAATGATTTGGTAATTGGGAACGAAATTAGGAAATAAGTGATTTTATCTAACAAATAATTAGTTTGGGTTTATTTTTAGAACAGATGCTAATATTTATATTAATTTTCCACGACGTAATAACAAAATACGAATTGAATTTCGGATTTCCATTATTATTTTATCTCAAATTGATCAGCAGCGTTAATCGCGTGGAAAGCAGACATCCAAAACTGCGAATTACTTTTACTTCATTGTTCAGTTCGCTTTCGGAGGTTTAAAATGTATAACATGGGAAGTTTGCTTGTTCAGCTCACCGTTGTTCTATATCTAGTGGCTGAGGTTAGTATATGTACGAGTTAGTATAGATATTAAATAACAGAGGGTACAGATAACTTCCAGGTTTGAGTTTACCAACGTCAAGTGCGCAAACTATGACCAGAATTTCGGGGATTTTGAGTATTGCTTTTTGAAGTCGGTGAATCGCAGCTACAAGTACCTTTCGGTGAAGTACCATCTGATCCAAACTCCGCTGACCAAAATTAAGGTAACTATACCCTGTTAAGTTTGTAGTTTAATGTAGGTAATGCAACCTATATTCCAGTTGAATATAGCCATGTTCAAGCGCTTTAGTGGCTATAGACCTTTCATGTACAATGTGACGGTGGATGCCTGCAGGTTTCTCAAAAACCGAAAGTCGAGTCCGTTTATTAACTTTTGGTTTACCATGGTTGAAAACCACACGAACTTCAATCATCTGTGCCCTTTTGATGTAGGTATTATCTCCCTTATTTTCATTATTTTACGAAGTTAGTCTTGTTCCAGCATGATATAGCTATAGAGAAGCTGCCAGTCGAGACGGTGTATTTCCAAGTCACGGAAGTGCTGCCCTTTCCTGAGGGAGACTACATGATCGAAACCAATTGGCTTGCTTACGACGTCAAGAAATGCCAGGTGAAGTTCTATGGAACCCTCTCCTAAATGCCTCTATCCTAGACGGATTTCATGTAAATTTAATCTTGTTAAAAACTATAACCAAATAAAATTGTTTTCTATGGAAGTTTCCCGAAATGCCTTTCAAGAAACTTTCAGTTTTCCTCAGTGCCTTCGAGAAACTTTGCGTGGTTCTCGTAACAAGATAAACATCTCGTTATTGGCTACTCGTCTTAGGTCAGGGATCAATGGGAATGGCCGGACTTATTGGAAACTTATCGGAGTGCCCATGAAGCATCCGCACATGGCGACCTCTTGAGGAGCGGCCTTTTGAGCCGCAGCTTTCCCTTTCGCCTTAAGTCGCCTCTCGGCCACTTCATCTCGATCCCATTCTCTGTTATCATTTCATTTGGCCACGTCCTCATCCATTTCCACTTCCACTTCTACTGCCACTCCCGCTTTCGTTTTCATTTTCATTTTCTTGTTTTTTTCAATTTCCAAGTCAATTTATTTTTACAGCGCACTGTGCCGCACTCGAGGAGAGTGGCTGGGAACGCGGGCTGCGGGGACTCCCCGCAAAGGACACGTATTCCCTGCGCCATTGCCCAACTAGGAGCAACTGGATAGGCGTGAAAGGACCCAGGCAAAGGGGCGTGGCAGCTGGGAACGCAATGAAGAGCGACAGTTTAAGTGGCGAAGAGCAAGAGCTCTGCATCATTCCGGTTTTTGTGGCCGTTTTTTTTTGGTGCTTTTGGGCGGGTTGTGGGTGGTTGCAGCTACAATCAATGCTGTCAGCTGGATATGTGTCCCTGACATTTGATGATTGTCGTGTAGTGGCCCTGAATCAAGTTCCCGGCCTAGATGGGCGGCCTACCAAGTGCTTAAGGACCCGAAGAGACCCTTTAATTATGTAAGGCAGCGGTGATTCATTGCTGTAATCTGATGTTAGAGATCCGAATGACTCACTTCTAATCAAAGGCGGCCGCTTAAGAGTTTAGAAAGCAGCTCCCTCGATTCGGGCGAATTTGCATGATTCACCCAAGTGCAGGAGGGAAGGTCAACACAAAATATTATTTATTACTTTCCTGCCAACAATGTTTGCCCGGTTTCTAGTGCAACGCGCTTGCTGGAATCTCACAAACACGAAAAGTTCGCTCTGAATTTCCACACCTATTTTGCCGCTGGCGATTTTCCGCCCATCCATCGAGTATTTCTGCACGGGATTTCCGGCAGACTTCGGCATTCGAGGAATAATCGCGTGGGTGCTCCCTCCATAGCAACTGCGGCCACAGGATTCTCCGATGCCACCAGAAACACACACTGACAATCGGAGGGGTGGCTGGGGAATCGGAACGCCGCTGAGCCATTGAACCCTTTTTGAAAGCCATATCGAGCGGATTTGCGCCGAAATGTGCGAGTACTTCGGCTAAAAGCTTATGGCCGGATCAAAAGCGCCTTCAATTTTATGCGCAAATGTTGTTTAATATTCGGCAAAATACCCCGAGCTCAGCAGAAAGCGGAAGGTTAACTCAACTTTGGGATACCCTTTGATTCTCAACTCCACTGACCTGGGTTATAATATCAGCCTAAGCTTAATTTCTGAAATATTTAAGATTTATTCCATTGGTATTTATATTTTTTTTTGTAATAGAATCCCAATTGGATATATCTGATCGTCCTATAGACCCCTCATGAGCAAAATCAAAAAATGAGCTCACCAAATCGATGTTCCACTTCATTTCCGACCCTAAACTCCACCCTACTTGGACAGATTTCGTGGCCTTAATCGGGGAATCCTTTGAGCCTCGCTGGCTTTGGCTCACATCGTTCCGCCGAAATGGCTTACTTGCAGTTTAGTTGGCTGGCAACTTTTTCGGCCATTGTCGCGCTCACCTGGCCATAAAATGCCCCCATCGATGGGGGCCACAAAATGACGACAACACCTCGGGGAGATGAGCTCCCGATGTTTTGTAAATTCTTTCTGCAACAAAAAATATGCAAAGCGAAAGTCTAGGCTGGAAACTTTCTGGCCAGCATTTGTGGTTGTGGGCCAGCAACAAAAACAGCGCCGTCAGCGGCAACAAAATCAATATTTGCCTTGTAAGCCGCACGTGTATCTGTTCTTGTTGTTGCCGCTGCACAAACTTTTACCGGCCACCAAAAGCTGAGGTTGCTCCTCTGGAGGGCGTATGCTTGGGGGCGGGTGGGAGCTCATCCAACATATGATGGGAGGAGGGTGAGGCTTCTACCAACATGAGGTGGAGCAACAGCTAGGAACATGTTTGCCGGCCCTGTCGGCTACACCAACAGCCGAAAAGCGAAGGACAGTGGAACTGCACGGAAGGGTTAAATGACTTTTAAGGGAAATTAATAGGTTAAGTCTAAAGTGGCAAAATCTATAATACATCTACATCGTATTAGCAATACCTTATCAACATCATGATAGTTAAACTACGAATAGTACAGAAGCACAAATCGATCTGGCCCACTGTTCCCCAGCTGATGGGTTGATATAGCCGGGGCCTCCAGTGGAGCCTCCTCCATGGGGAAGCAGAGAAGTGTTTGGTTAGGCTGCCCGAGATGACTTGTTGGGGCCATGTAAATTGACTCGTCGCAGCGCCGAAAGAAGAACTATGGAAGGCATGGGAAAGCAAGAGGAGGAGGAGCCCTACCCACCTGGTTGAGGAGCACTATACTCGTATATATGATAACACCTCGGGCCGGACACGGAGATAAGCAATGAAATATTTATAGGGTCGCCAAAGTCCTACCCGAAGTTGCGGCTCCTCCGACTGGCTCACATTTCCTCCTCCCTTTGGGAGCCCATATCTAATCGAGCCAAGCAAATAGAGCAGGGCGCATAAGAAGGGGTTCCGCACATGGTCTGAGTATTATTTAATAACAAACCCAAACCAAAACCCACCCAAACCTCATGCATTTATCGGGCGACGCCGATCGTCAGACTATTCAAGTGGCTCCTCGGCACTTTGTTGCTGCGCTTAAATAACCATTTTAAGTAATTCATGCGAAATTCATTTAACCAAATCAAACAGCCGTAAAATGTTTGCGGTCTCCCCTCGCCAAAAGCGGATCATAAAAAATTAGCAAAGGAAGCCACAAATTTGTAGTACATACTTGCTATGCGCTCGCCTTGGGAAGTTGATTGGGATATTTTTTAGAATTTTGTGGTAATAAGTCAGCCAAGTAAACCAGTTTAGGTAAATAACATTTGAAATCGAACTAATAGTTTAATCAATTTCTTGCTTTCCATGAGACTTCCAAGTTTTTCGACTTTTCCAGATTCACTTCCGAGCTTTGCTTGGCTTCCTGTGTACTCCCTCCAAAAGAGAGCAAGCAAAAAAGCGAAAAAGAAAAGCAATTTCCTATGAATTCCTCCTGTCAATCAGCGCAAACAGAGGAGCAATTAAATCTATCGCTTACAGCATTTTTTCGCCGTTTAAGAGATTTAATTTGGAAGGTGACATGGGTGCCCGGTAATCGGTGAAGTGAGCGGGGACTTGGTGCTGAGCGATGTGCATTTAAGCGATTTTAAGTGGGAATAAACAAGGCTCATAAAGCGCAAGGTAAACACTTTCCACCGAGGTGGAGGGATAGTCAGGAAGGAGGGTGTTCAAGGGGTGTGAGGTAAAGGGTGAAGGGGCCCCACTGTGGATAGATAAAGGAAAGGAAATGGCGCTCATATCCTTGTGCAAACACACACGTGCTCTTGACAGCGCTTTCTGCGCATTTCGCAATGAGGGGCAACTGTGCCCAAGGATGTTTGTCCCTGGACAGCTGAAAACCAGCACTGGGGGAAAACGGGATAGTAAATCAATATTAACTCCGAGGTTTTCTTGCTTTATTCTTAATACAGCCACTTTTATTACGGATTCAGTAGTCATTTTCCCTTTCATCTTTTTAGACTGCTATTCCGATCATAGTTCCTATCAAACTTATTCTTCAAGTGTAATCTCTGCCCAGTGATAAGCGACGGCGACAAAATAGAGAACAAAGCGACTGGCAAACGCAGATAAGACCGGGACCCCTGCTCGAAGACCGGAGCTGGAAGCCCCGCCATTTGCTAATTGCCGGTCAAACAGAGAGATAGGGCTGCTAAGGATCCGGAGAATCTGGAATCTGGAGTCTGAGGGATCACAGGGATCAGCCGCTGCTGCCACTCGTCTTTCTCACGACTCGAGATACTATATATGTACTCCAAAATACGGAACATCTTGTCAAGTGTCAACTGCTCGGTTCGCTTGAGCTGAGATCTGCTGTGGTTAGCCACCCCGCCTCCCCCCGGGACCCCATCCCCCACCTTGTTAGCAGTTAGCATCTTTACGCTAAAAACATATTTATTCGCTTTTTATGCCTGAATTGATTTGTCGTCGTCGTCGTCGTCTTCATCTTCATCTTCATCTCGAACGCACATTTATTGAGGCCTGTACTCCGAATCTCCGTATCTGGTGGCTTGTTATTGCCTTTTCCTATTATTTCTGCCTTTGGCCAATTTGTTGTTGCCGTGGTTTGTTTGTCTAATATGTGTGAATGTGTAAATTCATTTATATTTACATATGCCGGCAGACTCCCAATCGTTTTCCCTCCTTTCTTTCTCTTTTCCCTTTGCGGTTCGCCAGGTTTGTTTATCCAGTTAAATAAAAGAAAACCCACGTATATGCATATCTGCCTGGAAATTGTGTTAATCAGCGAACTCATCGAAGGTTGGTTAGTCATTCATGGCTCTGCTCCCTCTGCTGGGGGCTGCTCCTCGATGAGGACTCAATTTGCTCATCAGGATGTGGGATATGTTTTCAGAAGGTTTTTGGCAATTGCTTAAGTTTCGTTTAAAGGATGCCCCTATAACCTATATAACTTTACTTTCAAATATTTAATAAAAGAGTAATTTCATTTTTGAAATCTCAGTATAAGATGTTTCCCCAAAGATTTCTATCTGAATGAAAACACTTCTTAGTGTTCATTCTATTTAGCAAACTTATATGAAAGACTCATGCCAACTGACTGTCCAACTAGTAATATAAATTATCCTTTATCTTAAAGAGAGCTTACTTGGCCGATGCCTGAACCAGGTTCCAGTCGTAGCCCTCGAGGACCTTCATCACCGCAGTCGTGATGCGTTCGTCCTCCTTGCGGCCCCCTTGTCCTTGGGCCTTCTTCTGTTCGGCCTTCAAGGCATAGTTGGCCAAAACGAGGGTTTCCACCGGTTTAGCACGATCCTTGGAGCAATTGGAGCTGGCTGTTTCGCTCATCTTCAGCGAGACTAGGATCTCTGTTAAATTAGTTCAAGCACTGTCACAAAGCACTCTGCGTCACCGAATCACCGAAAGCGCGTTCTGATCTTATAGTTTCACCCACGCAGGGAATTTCCGACTTGGTGGATCTTACGATTTGTACGGATTGTTCAGATAGCCGGATAACCAGAGACGCGACGAGGCTGACGAGCAAACTGCGACTGATCTTGGGGATCGCCGGCCGTTTCCCCAAGACGCGCTCGGCAGCCGTCGGATTTCTGACGATCGTGGCGATAAGCTAAAGACGGTGGTTGGTTGGATCGTTAGCTCTATCTTGGGGGTGGTTGGGGGTCTTTGGGGGCGGGGCAGCAGGGCGGCCGAACGGCGGGGGCGAACATAAAAATCGCGGTACGCGTGTAAACATTAACATGTTCATGTGAAATTAGGTGGCCCCAGAGCGGAATCGAAAATGGGATGGGGGGCGACTGTCACAAACGAGTTGAAAAATTATATTTAGGTGGGTCGATACCTCGTAATAATACCTCGTAGTTTATAAGTATTAGTGCATATGAGGATGGATAAAGTCTAGAAGGTGGAATACATTTAGTAATCTCACCTTAAGACCCCTTCATAATAACATTTTCTAACATAAAAGAGTCTTGAAAGTGCGCAGTTAACAGAATTTTCCCAAAAAAGGTACATTATATATTAAAATATTACACGATATATATCTTTATAGAAGCACAATATACCCGAAGACCTGTAGGGTATCTGAAAGAGAGACCGTGAGATGGGCCGAGCTGAGAGACATAAATCGAAATGGAAACAGAAACAGAAATTAGTAACACTTTACAGCCACATGTGGATTTATGACACCTCCGAAGACTTTGACTTCGGGTTAAGGGGTTGGCCCTCGGGATCGTTAGAGACCTGCCACTTGTTGCAGCTGTATTTGGCTACCCGATGAGGGGGGTGGGAAAGGACCCGGGCTGAATGAGGATAAGTACCGAGGATTGGGGAGTAACGATTGCTAATGAGAAGTCGATAAGATCATTAAGGACTTAAGGGTTAAACGAGGAGAATGGAGGCAATGAAAGGGGATGGGGTGGGAAATGATGGATAGGTTCCCAGGGTTGACAGTAGGTAAGTTGGAAAATCTTTACCAAAAGTTGATACCAGTTTCTTACTATTCGGGTCCAAGTTTATTGGCTTTTAAATTAACTTAGCACTCCCATAAGTAATTCATTTTGGTAAATTAACAATTTTTATATTTCAACTTAGCTAGTCAAGCTGTAAATTTAGACAGCTCTTCAGCACAAAAATGTTGATGATAAGTGTTTTACTTAAAGAGAGATCGAGTTTATCTTAAAATGCAGATTTGGTTTGGTTTGAGAATGATAAAACATTTAACGAAATCAGATTGGAGGCCAGATCAGGTGATCTGGTAAGATCTCTTCATAACCACTTTGCACTAGATTTTACCTCTGGCTGGAATCGTAAAACCCGAGAAAACACCCTCGAAAAGAAATGAAATGATCGGGGAACGGAGAGCTATTCATTCCTCGCTCGTAAAACGTCGAAGAAGTGTAGTTTGGCTACGCTTTTGTTTTCCAGCTGGTTTCATCTGGAAGCGGGGAGCCGAATCTGTATCTGCATCGCATAACTTTTGGCCGCCAAATAATTTTTAGGGGTTTTTACAACTTTATAATTTTTACAACTCAATTAACTTTTTTCAAACGCCGCCGGCCAGGCAGACAAATCGAAGTAACAAAAATTAGACAATAAAACAGAGAAATGCATAAACGGAATCATAAATACCTAGGCCGTTTCGGAGAGATGAAATCGAGCCTCAAAACTGACGTCGAGCAGCGCCCGTTTTTTACTCTTTTTTGGAAGTGTCATAAAAGGCATCAAAACGAAAATTATACGATACTCCATAAAAAAGAGTCCGATACAGTGAAACCAAATACAGAACTCCGAGGGCAGTTCGCTGAACTGCAGCGACTGGAAAATTGATTCGCGTCTAGGAAATTTAATGGGCGGCCATCTAACAAATCCCCCCGCCCGGCTTTAAACATTTTTTCTGGACCGGCGAACTTCAAAGCCCGACAACTTGTTGATAAACAGCGCGCGGAAAAATGTGCAAAAAACGATTTTGAATTAATTAAAAATATTTGCGCTTATAGAAAAGAAATCAGCGGAGGCGAATTAATTTTCCTCCTCCTCCTTTTTTATGTTTCATAATCAAATTGGAGCAGAAAGGTCGAAATGCATCTGAGGGGCGGGGGCGTGGCGGCGGATGCGACGACCGCTTGACAATTTGCGACTTGCCATGAAATCGCATTATTTGATCTAAGCCGCCGACAAGCTAAAAAACGTATAAAAAACTTCAAGCCGCCTGCTAAACGAAACCAAATGGCACTTTTTCCACATAGCTGCTGCGTTAGAACAAGAAGGCAGGGGGCGTACTGTTGCAAAGAGGCGGGGCAGAAACGAGGAAAGAGGAGCTGGGAGATGGGAGCCTCCACAAGCACGACATGTGTTGCGGAAATATTTTGTAAACAAGAACAGCAGCGACGGGCAGTCAGGAAGTATGCAAAAATACAAAAGGGCACTGTAAGAAAAATATGAGTAAGATGTTTTTATATTGATTTCTATTTAACTTTCTTAACTTTCTTGGTAGATGTTTAATACCTTGAGATAAGATGAAAAATTAGATAACAATCAAGTTACTTAAATTTGAAATTCTCGACTCTTAGTAGCTCTCAAAGCTAATAGTAAATCCTCTAAATAGATCGCATTTTTTGCCAGTGCTTTTTGGAATATGGAAATCAGAGATCATTTGCATACAAGCGGCACCCCACCCACACTCCCTCATTTTTTATTGCCTCTCACCTTTATGTCTTCTTTTCGCTTTATTTGTAGTCGTTGACCATCGGTCGAGTGACGACGATTTCCATTCGCCAACGATCGCGAGTCTTTGAGTGTGTGAGTGCGAGCGAGATACCGCTGAACAAGTGTGTGTGAGAGCGGTTAACGAGTGGTTTTTCTGGTTTTATTTGTTGTATCTTCAATAGCCTCGTTGAATTGCTTTGTTTTCTCTTTTTCCCAGCCAATGGGAAACAAAGGCGGGTTTTCAAAGATATTAAAAACGATCAAGGAAAGGCACGGAAATTAGGTAGGTTTATAGGAATTATATGATATATATAAGGGGATGTACATAGGTGACAAAAAAGAAGTTGATTTATTTTCTCCATATATCATATTCAAAATTTCGCATTTCCAATACCAAATTCTATATTCCTCTTGTCCCCTTCACGTTATCAATTTTGAGTGATTGCTTATCTACCCCCAAACGAAACTCGAAATAAAACACACCTTGGCACTCACAAAAACATACACACTTTCCATATGTGCATAACCATCTACCTTCGCTTCCTTTTTTATGTCACCGTTTCTTGGGTTTCACAGTCGGGAAAGTGCTGGGAAGGGGGTTCAATGGGGAAATGGGGAAAAGGGGAAAAGCTGGGGGCCGTCTAATGGAATTCACACGTGTTTTGCTTTATTCGTATTGCAGCAGTAAAGGCATTCGTTTCAGGTATTTCGTTACCTCGGTATTACATCAAAATTGGCATTCACCAGTAACTGAATGTATCTCACAGATACATTTCCCGTTTTCTGATTTCATTTATTTGTACCTTTTGGGTAGTTGGATTAAAAACGTCTTATCTGTGACGAAAAATTAGAAAAATGACTTAAAACGAATTCTACTTCCATTTTGTAGCAATTGATTTTGATAAATTGCAGTGTAAAATTCCAACGGAAAACAAAAGATAACTTCTTTGATATTTAAAAAGTGTCCTGCGCTGGCTTTAAGGCGACATCTGTGTTTGGAGGAAATCAATTAGGAAGGTGAATTCGCTAGGCTTGGAGTGTGTTCCGGCTAGGCCAGTGTCGTTATCTTAACTTTGTGCTCAAAGTAAGACCAGTCCCGGGCAGAAAAAATACCGAAAACAGACACAGTGTAACATCGCATATAATGATTTATTACTTCTTATTATGGTTTGTATATATTCTAATTTCCGATTGGACATACATGCATTTATTTGCATTGAACTATTATAAAACATAATATTTATAAAAATTATATTCTATTCATAAAAAAATAGAATGGGTACCAGTTCAATAATATTTTAAGCTTTTACATTGATGTTATAAAAATTATTAAAATATAATCAAGACATAAGAAACCCTAACACTACAATAATTTATATCAATATGTTTTACAAATATAAATTTAACACCATAACAATATTTGGCCCTTCAATTAACATTATAAATGTTGTCTGACTATAATACAAACACAGTATATATTAAGGCTATAAGAATTTTCAATTCAATTTTTCAATCAAAGAGGTATTGTCAACTTTTGTTAAATAAAATGTGTTATATATATATTTGCGGACACTAATAAAGCCTTTTTAGAAATTAAACTTGAAATTAAATATCACCTACATATATAGTATTTCCTAAATCTAATATGGTATTTAATAGAATTTGTTCTTTGTCCGCCACGGTCACACTGGCTCTTGCTTGCACTAATATCAAGATGGCGTAAATTTGTAAAATTGTCGAATTCTATGTGAAATAGCCAGGCAAATTGAAAAGAAAACGCAGCGATCCTGCAAAACGTAAGTGGTCAATAGAGATTCGGATCAAGAAGCACCGTAGCAAGTTCAAAAACGGTGCTGACCACGCGCATGAAAATTCGAATTTCCCAGCAGCATTTCAGTGTCTCAGTTCCAGTGTGTGTGTATGAGTGCGAGTGCCCCTCGTCTTTGTGTTGGTGTGAAAATGCTGAAGCAGGAGGGATAGCAACGTGCTCGCGGTAAAAACAGCGCGAGTGTGAGCGAAACGACTAGTATACACGAATCTATTGCCAGGGCAAACGACTCGCATAAGTTTGGTTTTTTTATAAGATTCCAAGTTCCGTTTCGTTTCGTTTAGTTTTCTTGGCTTTATAGTTAACACTTTGTACTGCAACTAGCCTTGAAAACCCTGTATATAAAGTCAAATAAAGAAAAAGTTAACATATAAAATAACTAAAATATGGCAGCAATGCATTATTATTAAAATTATTGCATAAAATGCGCTTGCGTGTGGCCCCAAAAAGTGATTGTGTGCGTGTGTGTTTGTGTGCGCTATTGGCAACTACAACAAAAACAAAAGTCTGGTCTCTAAAACAAAGAAAATGAAAATTATTGTGGCAGAATCAATCCAATTAAAAAATTCGATTTCGATTTCAGTCGAATTAGAAGAAGAAAACGCAGCAGCGACGCCAGCAGAGGAAGTGGGCAAAGCAGAGCAGAATAAGAAAAAAGGAAATAGGAAAATAAGCCAATAAGTAAGTGTCGAATTTGCTCCACTGTATGCTTTCTTGACTCCCTTTTCAACCCGCCTTTATCGGCTGCACCTTATCAGCCCCGTTATTCGCAGTGCATTTAAAGAGTGCCGTTAGTTTTCGGAGGCCATTGACGTTGAAAAATAAATTGCAAACATAGAACCGTTTTCTTTTTTGGTTTCCCTGCTGATTTGTTAATTTCCAGGTTTTTCGTTTTATTTTCTGTGTTATATTTGCTTTTCCGTGTTTATTTAAGCTTTTTATTTTTATGGCGTCTGCTAAACAACTGTTTTTTGTCTCTTCTTTGTTCTCTTGTGCGTTTTTTTTTTGCGGAAGCTTTTCGGCATCCGCCAACGCAACGTGCAGCTGTTTTGCAATTGTAATCCATTTCTTTTATTTTTTGCAACAACACTCGTAAATACCATACGAAATATTAAGTTGCCAATAGGAAAAGCCATAAATAAAACCAATCAATTGAATGTCTAACTCGCACGCAAAGGTATAAGAACTACACTAAAATAAAATGAAAGTACTTAATTTTATTTAAGAATTTTAGATTATGAATTTGTTTCTGCCAACAAATTCATTTTTTTTTTGTTTTAAATTTTTATTCAAATATTTTAAAGTTTTATTTAAGTATTTTGATGTTTCGGCTAATTTTTTTCTGTGTACAGCATAGGTGGCACCAATAAGAAACGGTACATTTCGGTAAAATAAATCAAAGTCAAAGCGAAAACAACAACAACAGAAGTCGCAAGTTTTGAGGTTAGAACAGGCTATGAGAGGGGGCAAAAGAAGAAGGAGAACGAGGGAGAGAGCGATCTAAATGCGTGAGCGGTAAAAGAAAGCGCACAGAAAGACGGAAAGTGGGTAGAGAGAGAGGGTTTAATAGCGAGAGAGAGAGCCGCCAAAAACAACAATTAAATTTAATTTTTTGTCATTTTTGGCCGGCAAGTGAAAACTTTCTGCTTGTTGCTTCTTTTTCTCACTTCTATGCGCTTTATCTTCCATGTTTGTGCTTTTCACCACCAAAAGTGTCATTTAAGTGGCATTTTCACAGTCACTGCTTTTTATTTGCTTATTTCTCCCTTTTGTCGGAAATTGTTTACTCCACGCACACACGAACACACGTTTCTTTTATCTATTTGTTGTTAATCTCTGCTTCGTCTTTTTATTTTCTGATTGCTGATTCACTGTCCCATGTTGTTGGTGTCGTCACGTTGGAATACACTCGAATACAAATAAAACTCTAATTTCATCACAAGTTTTTAGAAGGGCTAAAGCACAATGAAACTAGAAAGTTTGATTTCTTAACTCCTTACAGAGTAAAAGGTTATTATAGAAGATTTATGCATTTCAAATGATTAAAAATTACGATAACGTCACATTTTTAAATATTTTTCTTTCTGTTCACTTAAATTATCGTTACTCATCGTTTATTAATTCAGCATCTTTTGTTTTCCCCATTCGTAATCAATAAACACCGACGACTGCAAAGCCACACACACTTATAAATGTAAATAAACGAGATAAACTTTTATTTTGTGCGAGGTTCGGGTTCTTATCTTTTTCCCCACTGTGCATTTCAGCTGCCATCCAAATTGCCTTTGAATGTTGTTTTTTTGTTTGTGTCAACCTAAGCCAAGCTTACTTGTCCCTCTCGCTCTCTGCCTTTATTCTTAGCTAGCGGTTTCTATTTTCGATATCGATTGTTGCTGTGCGCTGTGTTTTTATTTATATTTTCCAAAAATCTTTATCATCGAAAACATATGCGAATTAAACACGATTTTGGGTTAATGCTGTGGTTATGTGTAGTGAGATTAAAAGATAACTTCCCTCTGACCACGTAGTCCACCAAAACAGATTGAGAAAACTAATTTAATAACTCTTTCAGAAACACTACCCAAAAAGAGCCTGAAGCGACTGCCTTGAGAAAAATCGAAAAAGGAAGACGAGAGGAGGTTAGACGAAAGGACAGCGCCAGGTGAGAAAATGGGAAATTGAGGAACACTTTGTGGTGCATTGGTTAAAAAAATTATTTTATTAGTTATCTTTTATCACAATGTAAATCCTAGAAAACCATAATTTTTCCTGTGATAAATGTATGAGTATATGAGTAGTGACTGAAATTTCTAAAATAATTTACTTTTAATTATATAGTAGAGGGTCATTTTTAACTATAGCTAATAAGGCAAGTGTCTAGCCATATTACTTACTTGCTGATTACCTTACCTATTAAAATGACATATTGTAGTATGTAAAATTTATAGTGGGATTTCCATTTGTAGATATTTGTAAAAACACCTCTGCTATTTTTATATGTCATGAATAATTGTGAATAAGATGTTTCAAGTTGTGATAGACAGACCCATTTGCTGTTCCTATTAAAGTAGTAAAATCTATGCTAATAAAATCCAAGTGATCCTATGGATCGTAGCCACTTTTTCAATTCCTATCGCAGTGAGAAAGTAAATAGTTTACTTTCATGACCTGAGCAAGGAGTGAAAACCACCTAATCTGCTTGGAATCTGTCACTTGTTTACTATGAGTAATGAAAACTGCGCAATTCTACCACACAATTTATACAAGTTTAGCAATTTGAAAAAGGTGAACTAAAGTCATATTCTCCTTATCCACAGAAAGGCAACGCTATTTCGAGGAATTCCCACATCCACACAAAGAAGCCCACAGGAACAGACATTCAAAAATGGAGCTGCGCGTGGGTAACAAATACCGCCTCGGCCGCAAAATCGGATCGGGGTCGTTCGGCGATATCTACCTAGGCACCACGATCAACACTGGCGAGGAGGTGGCCATAAAGTTAGAGTGTATTCGCACCAAGCACCCCCAGCTGCACATCGAATCAAAGTTCTACAAGACGATGCAGGGCGGAATAGGTATACCCCGCATAATATGGTGTGGCAGCGAGGGAGATTACAATGTGATGGTAATGGAGCTACTTGGACCTTCGCTGGAGGACCTTTTCAACTTTTGTTCGCGCCGTTTTTCTCTGAAAACGGTTTTGCTGCTGGCGGACCAGATGATATCCCGCATCGACTACATCCACTCCCGGGATTTCATCCATCGCGACATTAAGCCAGATAACTTCCTAATGGGTCTCGGCAAGAAGGGTAATTTGGTGTACATCATTGACTTTGGCTTGGCCAAGAAGTTCCGGGACGCTCGATCACTGAAACACATTCCGTATCGGGAAAACAAGAACCTCACGGGCACCGCCCGCTATGCCTCAATTAATACACACTTGGGTATTGAGCAGTCACGTCGTGATGACCTGGAATCCCTCGGCTATGTCCTCATGTACTTTAACCTGGGAGCCTTGCCCTGGCAGGGATTGAAGGCAGCCAATAAGAGGCAAAAGTACGAGAGGATCTCGGAGAAGAAGCTGTCCACCTCTATAGTGGTGCTGTGCAAGGGCTTCCCTAGCGAATTCGTCAACTATCTGAATTTCTGTCGCCAGATGCATTTCGACCAGCGTCCCGATTACTGCCACCTGCGCAAGCTCTTCCGGAATTTATTCCATCGTCTGGGCTTTACTTATGATTATGTGTTTGACTGGAATCTGCTGAAGTTCGGTGCCCCACGGAATCCTCAGGCCATTCAGCAGGCGCAGGATGGAGGGGACGGCCAGGCGGGACATGATGCGGTTTCTGCAGCGGCGGCAGTGGCAGCAGCGGCTGCCGCCTCCCATCCTCAGCAGCAGCACAAGGTTAATGCGGCACTTGGCGGCGGAGGAGGCAGTGCAGCGCAACAGCAACTCCAAGGCGGACAAACGCTGGCGATGTTGGGCGGCAATGGAGGAGGAAACGGCAGCCAACTGATCGGCGGCAATGGACTCAACATGGACGATTCGATGGCGGCAACAAACTCGTCGAGACCGCCTTATGATACGCCTGAACGTCGACCCTCGATAAGGATGCGTCAGGGAGGCGGTGGCGGCGGGGGTGGAGTGGGCGGCATGCAGAGCGGTGGCGGTGGCGTGGGGAACGCTAAATAATATTTTATCGTTTAGGTTGCGACGCTGGACACGACACAGTAGACAAACAACAGCAGAACTCAGCAAAACTATACATGTAGAATATATAGTTATATATACCTTATATATATATAATACTTGCTTTATATATGCGGTAAAACATGTTGAATGTATCCAAAACGGCAGGAGGACCAGGTCCCTGCCAAGAACGGAGGATGAGAGCAGTGAGAAAAGAGGAGCGGAGCAGAGCAAAGCGCAGCGCTTAACTTCTTTTTTTTTGTGTACATTTTCGTTTGTTTTTTGACATTTTTGGTTTCTGCTCCCAGATGTTAGAACGTTGGGCGCGCTTATTATTAATTAACTAGCCTATGATTAATTTAATTTATACTATAGAACATAAACGATTGCAACTTGGCTGCAAGAAACTGCAACAAACCGCACTGTTCAATTGATTGAGATCCCTGAAAAGCAGCCAATAGATCGGCGGTTAAGAACGGGTTCGCGGGATTTGGGAGGTGAGCCAGGATACGCAGGCATTTAATTCTGTTTTGCATTTGACTATTGCTCTCAGCCGGCTCAATGTATTCGTTGTTAATTTGAAATCCCAGCCCAAAATCAAGCAGAACATTTAAAACCGATCATGAAACACATAATAACTCGATTGTAAGTGTAATATTTGTGTAAAAGAAATAAAGGACAGCCCGTTCAGCGAGTGTCCCTAACCCTAGAATATAGGCACTAGCGATAGCGAATCCAATCCATACAAATTGCATATGCTATCTAGCAAAACACCCACATTGTAACCTAAGTTGAAGCCGATTAACTGATTTCGGGGCGCAATTAACCGATGATAAAGATTATGATGATCAAGTGCAGTAGAGGGGACGTTCTTTAGCTTTAAGCAATTGATTTTTAAGGCCCCTCCTATGTTATATTATATACCTTATTGTATCGCCTACGATCCCCGTATATTTGTACTATATATACTTTCGTGGCCTGCACTTTGCTGCCTGTGTTCATATATACTTTTCCGATTTTTAAACACTAACTGCGCGCATTTCTCAAGCAGAAGGGAAATCACCGGGAAAATTGAGGAGGAAGGAGGATGGGCGGTGGGGCAGCCCTTTTGTTTACGCAACAAAATCATGTAACTAAGATAGAGAGCGTATAAATAGCGTTAGACACACACAAAACAATTTGCATTAAATTTTCGACTTAATTAAAATGAAGTAAGGCCCTTCAGAGGTAAAATTACAAAACGCTAGCTAATAAATTATAGCTATAATATGAAATTTGTTTATAAGTAATACCAAACCATAAAAATAAAAACAAAACACAAAAATGCAAAAAAAAAAAAACTTAAATTCTAAATGCGCCAAGAGAAAATGGGTAAAATTATAAATATATATAAATATACAAACTATATCTTATGAGAACACGTAAAACATGTAAATCCCCACAGCGATCGGCTGGCAGTCTAAAACTAACGAATCAAACAAAAATTAAAAAGAAGAAACAAAATAGGATCACTAAACGCAAAAGCCACTAAAAACTTAAATAAAAATGCATTACGTGATATTTCTTACATATTGTTTTTTGTTTTCCCAACCTTATTTCCCAATTGTTTCGGCAATATCCGCCTTGTTTCTGGAACGGAACCACTATCCAAAGCGCACGCCTTGCAAATCGACCAACTTTGTAAACATGACCATGTAGCTCTGCCAGAAACCGGGGATCCTCCGTTGACATAGCCCCACGCCTCCTCCCAGATCAGAACTAATAACCTAATAAGTGTACATACGAAGTATCCAAGTAACCAAAACCCTACAAGTAAAAAATAAAATATATGTGTGATTTTCCTCCTAGCATACAGAGTACTAAACCATTAGAATTTTATTGATAGAAATGAAATCGAAAAGCCCGACAAAACGATTCATAACAATTATGAGCCACTAGAAATGGAGAACTAAACGATCTTGTGTGAAAAGTCCATCAGCATAAGCGAAAATAGAGAAACTAACAAATTGAAATAAAACATAGTAATTCCGAAAGTTTTGTATAATTAACTGTATATGTATATTGAGAATAGAATTTTGAACTAATAACTAATTAAACTTGAATCGAGTTCAAGTCGAATAGACGAATATCGATAATATCATGGGCGATATGAACATATAAACATTAAAAAACCACCAACAGTGATATGGAATACAAAATAACCACTAACGAAATCGAAACGGTTCATGAAACATTTAACAAGTACGTTAGGTCGGAATTCGACGGATGTAACGATAAGTGCACGCCACATTTATGTAATTAGCAAGTATTTCGAATTAAACTGAACATGAAATATGTATGTGTGAACAGAATAAAAGCAGCCACTAAATAAGCCACACCACTCACAATAACAATTACAAACGAGGCATTAAAAAGCTTAACAATAATAACACAACTTACTTAAATTTGGTTTTTGTGTTGTTAAGGAGGTGGGGGAACCCCAAATGGCATGGATCCAGCACCATATAAAGTTCATCCTTCAACTCGGTTTCAGACGAGCTTCCAAAAATCGAATTTTATTTCATTTTAAGGAAAGATTTATGAATTAATTTTATTTATTTAAAATTAAATGCTTGCATTTAAAAACAATTTTTTTAAATAATCACAGCAATTGATTAAACTATATTGGCAGCCTGACAACTCTGTTTATGAAACTGTGTCCACTCTGCTGATCAGCTGTTTTTAGTATTTTTGTGCTTTCGATTTAAGGTCACTCTGAGCACGTCTTATTTGTTGGCCCTTTAGTTTTTGCCAAAAAGGTTAATAAAAACCCCGATATAAACTCAACCGAGTGGTGATTCAACCTCCAGAGACTTGAGACTTATTAACCAGACCCCAATATTGCAGGTTTTGCACCAGGATCAAGTCAGGAGGAACTTGAAAGATGGGAGCTCGACAGTCTCAATCCCGCGAACCCCGATCCGTTTCGATGGAAAATCCAACTCCTGCCGGCGTTATTGATATATCCGATGATGTGGTTAAGCGATTGAAGGCAGGAATATCCCAGCAGGGTAAGCAATCCACTGGTAGATTTGAATACCAGCTGGAAATCCGCATTTCACTCTGCCCGGTGTTATGCAACAATTGTCAAAACGGACAATTGTTTATGTCAAATACAGTAAAAACTCGATAGCTAGAACAACTGCATGATAGAGCACTCGAAGCTTTTGGAATGATGTTCCTTTGTGATGTCTCGTAGCTAGAAGACTTGTTTTACTTTACTTTTGTGTTATATTATTGAAAACTATTGATTTGTTTTTATGGTATTGCAGCTCGTGAGCACGCCGCCGCTGCGGAGGATTCGAAGCCAGCTCCCAAGGCAGTGCCAAAGGCTGCTTCAAAGACAGTCACATCGTCGCCAGCTCCCACTTCTGCCCCTAAAGTGTCTTACCCATCTGCGGTGCCCATCTACGTCCAGGGAGGCGGACACACCATCAGCGCGGCCGATGTGCAGCGCCAGATGAACCAGGAGCTTATCAAGAATGACGAGCTGTGGAAGGAGCGCATGACGAAGCTAGAGGAGAACCTTAAGAAGACCAACACGATCCTGGAGAAGGAGTACGCCAACGCAGTGGACAACGTGCATAAGCGATTCGTGAGTACCGCGTCGTCGCACAAAGTGCCTCCCTGCCAGGACCTGAAGTCCCAGCTGCTCGCCTGCTACCGCGCGTATCCCGGAGAGACACTGAAATGCATCGAGGAAGTGGCCCAATTCCAGAAGTGCATTGATCTGCACCGCGTCAAGAAACTGGATTCAGAACCAGAGGCTCCAAAAGCGGCCACCGTTCCTGCCAAGGCGGCCTAGTCTCCTGGGAGACCCTCTTATTCTTGTCCTAATTTGTTGACCTTTTCTTTGAGGCCTCTTATGGGCTTTGTATAAACGACGGAGAACGCACTTGGAAAACTTAAGCGAGAGAGTGTAATTGCGAGCGATAGTAAACTAATTTAACTGAATCAATCCATGGTAATTTTACTGGTTGGGAGTTTGCCTTAAAGTGTAGTTTTGTTCAAATAAAACCCATAGCATACTTTTTAATTGTATCTATTTGGCAAACAGCAACGATCACTCCATCCTTTCGCTCTCGCACATTCAACTTAACAAACCGTAAGACTATAATCATTAATTAGAAATAAGTAACATTATTTACAGCATGTGACCGCGTAGCAAAGTCGCTGTGGCAGCGGCCCAAATGGAAATCAAAGAGACTCCCAAAGCGGTGGCACTACTTTTTTCGTGATCGGACTTGTCCTGGGGGTCATCTTTTTCCTCATCCTTGGAATGCTCGCAGGACTCATCGAAATCCTTTGCGGGTCCCAGACAGCCTGCATAGCTCATCACGTAGGCCAAATAGTTCTGCTCAAAGACTCCGCGAATCAAACTGGAACCCGGTCCATAGGCGAAGACAGCCACATCCTCACCGCCATGGGTTTCGTCCTTTCTGGGAACTGTGGCCAAATGACGGTAGGTAGGAGCAGCGCGCTCTTCTTCGGTGAATTGTTTCAGAGGCATCCACATATTAGAGCTGTTTTGAGGTCTTGAGTCGTTTGCTAAGTGATCCCAGTAGCCAGGACCTGGATAAATTCAGAGATTTGTTTGATATTTCGAATTTAACATTGGTGGATATATCTTACCATTGGCATACGAGATGGTCTCATAGACCATCGGATCGTTTTTCTCATGCGAGTTGGCTGCTCCCAGGATGTCAGCTCCTCGGAGGGCATAACCATTGAAAGTCACCGCATGGGAGTGATCTGCTGTTACCAGGATCAAGGTTTCCTCGGGATCGGTATTATTCACAGCGGCTTGGATCGCCAAATCGAATTCGTAGAGCTCATGGAGGGCGGCACGGGCATAGTTCATATGATGACCTTGGTCAATGCGACCTCCCTCCACTAGAAGTACATAACCGTTGGATTCATCCCCCCTTTCCAGAACTCCCAAGGCTGTCTCTGTCATTTCTTGCAGGGAAGGTTCTCCCTCCTCCCTAGCTATGGAGTAGGTAATATGATTGTTCCGGAACAGTCCCATCAAGTGATCCACTTTCTTGACATCCACCTTTAGGAGATCCTTGCGGTTGTGAACCAGAGCTGGAGCCACTGAATCGTTAGCATGGTGAGCAAGCCACTCGGAAGGGAGATTCCTATTATCACCCCGAGTGCAAATGGTTTCCGTGGGTCCTTCGAAAATCGTCGTCCTCACCTCTGACGCATTCAGGATTCCCATTGGCGACATTCCGCCTCCCAGGATCACATTGAAACGATTTCCCGGAGCATTTTCCACCAACTGACGGGCTATATCAACATGAATACCCACCGATTCTGACGGAACTTCCGTATCGCACTCCCAATCTCTGTCGTAGATGTGGGCGTAGGTGGCGGCAGGCGTTGCATGGGTGATCCTGGTGGTGGTGACAATACCAGTGCGCTTGCCCTCCTTTTGGGCCCACTCCATCACGCTTTGAACCCTGCCCTGTTGGGAATCCTTCTTTGAGCGTGTGGCATCCATTCCGATGGCTCCGTAATGAGTTTTCGAGCCCGAGAAGATCGCCGTGGCAGTGCCCGCCGAGTCCGGAACCTGTTTGTCCACATTGTAGGTCTGTTAAGGAATAAATTGTATTACTTAGTAGTTTAAACATAAATTTCAATATAAGTTGGAACAACAAAGTAACTAGATCTACGATGTACTTAGACTTACCTTGGCCATTCCAGTGTTTGGGAAGTCGTCGAAGACCAGAGTTTCCTCCTCGCCAGGACCGTGCTTCAGATACTGTCCCTTGTAGATGCGACCAGCACTGATGGTGGACACTCCCATGCCATCCCCAATGAAGACGATGATGTTACGGGCCTTCTTCAGGTAGGAGTTCTCGTCCACCCGTTGGGCCTGCTTGATGGTCTTCTTCAACTGCGTCAGACCCACTTTGTGCCAGAATTCCGCATCTAAATTCGAATTGGAAACGGAAGACCCATTAAAGCTAAATCGGATAGGAATCGAGGGGTAAATCAGTGCCATGTCACGTATTAATTACCCCTCGCCAGTGAGATCTAGTTGGCACTTGAACATGTTCTGGATCGACTTTTTAAGTACACAACTAGTTACGGTGATTTATTCTCGCTGCGAGCGTTGCTAAAAAGGTCTAGCATAACCACAATTTGGGGGCAGGTGGAAAATTTGTTTTCTTTCTTTATGCACTCAGCCCCAGCTTGATGTATATAATTTGTACATTGTTGGAAGTAAGTCAGAGTTACAATTAAGTTTTCCCGGCTAATTTATATGGTCTACCTTTATTTATGTTTGCTCAAGCTAAGGCTCTAATCTTTATTTTATTAGCTAATCTTAAGTTTTACGACGCACTTATCTCATTGTTTAGTAGCTAGTAATAGCAGTACTTAGTTCTTTGGCCATAAATCACTTTTAGAATACTCTTTTTATAATATTACTTATCTGATCTGACTAAATGAAATGAAATCAAAATGATCTCACATTAAATTTAAATGATTTGTATAATTTTTATCAAAATTGTTTCCCATTGATATCTTAAAATCATTTTTAATATGGGAGAATTTAATAAACTAAATAAAATTTGCATTTCCTTTCCACAATGTGGAACGTGCAATAACCGATTTACTTGCGGCGGTGATTAGCATTTTGCGATGTGTAATTAATATTCAGTTGGGGTAGCTTAGGAATGGGTGGGAGGTGGTACCCCCAGCTCCACTCACTGCCACCCACCGCCCAACGACCTCGACACTGAGACAGGTTACAGTTAAGCTTCATTTGTTGACTGCTAATTTCGGCTTTTCAATGAAATTAAAAGTATGATGAATCAGATTTTTTTGCTGCTGATAAACACATTTTTGGGTAGTTTTTTAAAAGGAGTAAAGGAGTAAAAGTACACCATTTTAAACTCTTATTATTAACTTTACTCCAAACTTAATCAAACATTCACTAGACTTCAGTAATTGTGGTTTTTAGATAATCTCTTTTTCCCTGTAAATTTGTCTTAAGTCTGTTTTTAGTCCCCTCAATAGATCTCAATTTGCAATGCATTTTTTTTCAGGTTAAAAATGTAAGTTCGGTTTTCTGTGGTTGATTTTTCAGAGTTACAATGACCTCTCTGAACACTAAAAGTAAATGTAAGTGAGATTTCGCAACCTTGATACAGCAGTGCCCAAGTTTAAGTTCTCGTTACATAATTGAACTGGGAAACTATTCAAGTTCAAGTAATTTAAATTATTTCACGTTCTAGGCGTTTGGCTTTAGTTTGGATTTCGCACGTTTGGTTAGAAAACTTCCGTGTCGGATGGGTTGTAATTGGGACTTACCTTCGGGTTCCTTGGGTTTTTCCACCTCAAACTGAGGTCCTATATCTCCTCCAGCACTCAGAGTCCGAATTAATGGAGGCGGCTGGGTTGTGACTGCAGCCCAACTGAGTGCCATCAGGCCACTCCATAAGAAAACCAACAAAACCACGGAATGCATTTTTCTAACGACGCACAATAAGCGAACAATTGAAATTGAGGGCGACTTTCAGGTTTTCGGTGCCGTTGTGATTTGTATTTGAATGGGGATTTGTATCACAGCTCAGCTTGAGGCGCAGATTCTGTCAGCAGGCCATCGAGATTGATTAGAAAGTGCGCGGAACGATTTCGTCGTCTCGGGGCTGTCTAAAATGCTGTCCCGTGTGGACTCCAATTAGCTACTAACACCGCAGTCAGCCCGCAAGCGCCGTTATATGGCAAACTAACTATCCGTCCAGCCGATCGGCCAGACCCGAAGTCCCGCACTCACACATGGACAGGGCGATCGTTTTCGGCGGTTGGGGAATTACACCCCGTAATTGTGGATTATATCCGGCGCTCTTAGCATATTTCGTAGTCAGGTGGGGTTTTAGACACGTACTAAGTTAATAAAATAAGTTCAATTACATGTTTCAGCGGCTAAAAATAGTTTGCGTTTAAATTTCAGAATGTCAAGACTATAAAGAATTTATAAAAACATTTGATGTCCTTTAAAATATGCCTTAATATGTTATGAAGCTATTGCAATATGCAGCATTCAATTCCTGACATTTTTAGCTTTTAAGCTTCTCATTCTTATACAGGATATCCTACAGTCTACAGACTCAACACGAAGTCATTAAGTGGGCTGTTTGCAATTGCAAAACGTTTTGTCTCAATTAAAATTACGGCTGTGCCGAGATTAGTCCATAAAAACGTGCTAAGCGTTTACGAACTAAGGGCCCCCGCACCATAAACACATCTTAAACGATCATTTGTTTGCCTGCGATCTTGCCCGGAATTCTCCGGCGGATCCCGTGTCGATGAGCTGATTTACGGCGGAGCTGCACGTGAAGCGGCTGATGGTCGGCTTTATCTTTATCTGTATCTCGACCGATGTCTGCAGATGAAACTGCGCTGCCGTTGTTTGTGTTCCTCGGAATTGATAAAGAAAATGAAGGGGTACCCTCGGCACACATTGCGTATGCGTGTTATTGTTATTTGCACTTACCTGACTTTCGGCTGCCATCCAGCAGAGATTGGAAAGAGTTTATCTTCTGTTCTAAGGGACACTGCTCTCAGCGACCCCTAAATGCCACTTAAAACCTATTTAATCAGTTCTTTTTATAGAGCCAGGCATCTTCGTTATATTACTAGATCTGAGGAATATAATGTAAGGCGTCTGGAAATGTGTCTATTGTTATGGGTCTAAGTAATAGTTCTAGTATGTCGTGTGTATCACGTTTTAGTCTAGTGACCGAATTGGTGATTTTAGCACTTAGATCTTATCTGAATTTCTTAAAATAAACTTGGGTTTTCCATGTTATGATGTATATGATATGGCATAGCTCTGATGGAAACCTTTAAATGACATATGCTTTATCCATTTACAATCTGTCAAGATCAGAAGCACGTTATCTTTCATGCGAATTTCCATAAGTGTTCCTTAAAGTCGAGAGATGAGATCAAAGTCAATACTATTCAAGACAGCTGATGCCTAGATTTATGGTAAGGCACTCGGGACAGTGATGATAGATTGCCGACACCTCGCAACACAGAGCGTTGTAAATCTTTATCTGCTTTCTGAGATGATCTAAACGTATCTTTATGGCCAAACAGATGAATCGAAATAAATGGGGAATCTTCCACTGCAAGTGACGCTCTTCTTGGACTCGTTCATCTCCGCTGTTTGCATTTCGATTGCTCTGTAATTGTTATTACATCGACTCGTGCTGATTCGTTACGCTTGACTAGAGCAGCACCTGAGCTGGCAACCTGTGAGTACTGTACCTGTACCTAAATACGCATCTTGGTACATATTTATATTACATTTAGTGTAAGATACAAGTCAACCATAATTTCTTTAGCTATTTGCAGCCACTTTTTATTCAACAGTTTTCTTGTCACGTATAAATTTTTGCTAATATTGCCTGGGGATTTAGCGAAGAGAGTCTATTAAGTGTCCACCTGCAATCGAAAGCTGTGCAATCGCAGTTCACTTTTTTCGGTTTTGACTAGCATTATAGAGGTTTTCATATAAAATTTTAACTAAAGCCAAGGTCAGACACCCAAATAAATTGGCACAAAATGAAGGTATCTCAAAATCACTAACAAATAAAATAGTAAAATAAGTACCTAGAAACATCTTTTCTCTGTTAGAATTGACTTCACTGAATAATAATTATTCTTCATTTTATATCGTTAGAAAATTCAAAGCTGATAAGGAAAAACTTAGCCAGAATTTATTTGGGTGACTGACCTTACCTTAACAGGGAGTACAACTAAATGGGTAACAGAAAGTCGTAACGAAAATAATAAAAATAGTATTGAGCAGGAGCACACTCCACCCACTATGAGAACTTCTTGGCGGTAAATCCTGCCCGCACATTACTGGTCGTAGCCGATTTCACAGTCGTCCTGCTCGTTTTGGTTACGGTTGTGGTGTCATTACTGCTGTTGTTGCTGATGTCCTTTGTCGTGGTGTTGCTGGAGTTGCTGTTGCCAGTAGTGCTATTGTTGTTGTTGCTTGTGTTGCTGCTGCTCCTTGTGACCGTGGTGATGCTGCTGCTGCTGGCACTCATCAAAAGAGGACGACGCGGCGGCATCCGTTCGTTGACCGCATCCAGGCCCTTGGCCTCCGCAAAGGAGTGAATGTGCGAGGATGCGGTCAGTCCTTGCAGAGCTAAAGATATATGTGTTCAAGAACAGACAGGAAATAGCTCAATTAATAATCATCAATAACCTTATCTCTGCAGAAAGTTCTAATCGAGAGGGAGATTAATAATGATTAAATGGACCCGTAAAACTGCCAACCGAAGTTTAAGTTTGAGTTTATTGCTCTGACACAATTGTAAAATACCAACATCCGCTTTTTGAAAAATCATAACAAATTGTTGTAATCATTTAGATTGACATCTTCCCGGTCCCTTGCATTTGCAAATAGAGTTTTAATGGCTTTTAACGAATCAACTTTATAGCTGACTTGAATTTGTTCACCTCAAAACATTATTCAAAGATGTGTCCTAAACACACCGAACTATTTCTGCTTCTAGCTCTCCTCTACTCAGTTTCAAAGGTAAAAGATTCTAAAGTTGAATATAAGTGTAACGTGAACACATAGAACAATTTTAATGCCGTCAACATTCTTTCAGTTTGACTAATAATCTTTTGAAAGCAAAAAAAAAACAACAAAAAGTCTTAATGCTGCCTTGCTTAAAGTACACGACACATAATTATTTACTAAAAATCATAAAAACGGCCACCTTTTTGTTTACCCATAAGATATCTTCAAAGTTTGAATTTACCAACATCAACTGTACTTCATTGGATAAAACTTTCGATGACTTTGAGTATTGCTATCTGAAGTCGGTGAATCGGAGCTACAAATATCTGTCAGTAAAGGTTAATTTGTTTAAAACCCCAATCGCTAAAGTCAAGGTTTGTAGATAATAAAATCAAAAAGAATTTTTTAATGTCTATAATGTCCTTTAGGTTCGTGGAACACTTTTTAAGCGATTTAACGGCTACAAGCCATTCATGTTCAATGTCACAGTGGATGCCTGCAGATTCCTGAACAATACGAAGTCGAGTCCTATTGCTGCATACCTTTTTGAATTTTTTAAACCCTTTTCCAATATGAACCACACATGCCCCTTCGATGTGAGTATGCCTATCGGTTTTGCTGAATCGGTTTTCATCGGTTTCTTCCGTTTTCCTGAACGCAGCATGATCTAATCATGGATAAATTGGAAATAGGCTTTGTAAACCACCAAGTCACGAAAGTTCTTCCTTTCCCGGAAGGCGCTTACTTACTCGAAACTCATTGGATTGCCTACGATATCGATCGAGCTGTGGTGAAGGTATACGGAACTCTCTCCTAATCAACTATGCTTATTCTACATATATTCTCCATTACAAAATTGAAGAATTGGTGTAAATAAAAAATCATTCTTGTAAACTGAATATCCGCTCAAAAGAATTTATCATGCAGAAAAGAGCCGAGTTGATTTTGGCCTTAGTTGCACTCGACTAGACTATTTTGTAGTAAATGTTTTTTCGGTTTTAAATTGATCAATTATTTATTTTTGATTTAGGCAATTATAAAGCAAATTGTTCGGATAATTTAAGCCACGATCGTTACGGTCTTTGGTATTTCGAGTTCTAAATATAATGGGTAGGTATTTTAAGTCAACTTCATAGCAGATATGTGTATCAATACTGAAAGATGTATACCAAACATCTCGAACTAATTGTGCTTTTTACTCTTTTGTATTCAGTTGAAAAGGTAAAGGATTCGCAGCACAATTAGTGCCTGCTTTGAGCTTTGGAAAAAAGTTGTTGAGTTTTTTTATAAATACAAACTTACAAGTATCTCAATTTTTATTCTACAACGCGTTTAGATATTCTCAAAGTTTGAGTTTACCAACATCAACTGTACAAGTTTGGATAAAGACTTCGATGACATTGAATATTGTTATTTGAAGTCGGTGAATCGAAGCTACAAATATCTATCACTTAAAGTTAATTTGCTTAAAACGCCAGTCACAAAAGTCAAGGTTTGCAGATAATAATATCGACAACAGTGTTTTAAGTTTTGTTTATGTTTTTAGATCAACGGAAGGCTTTTTAAGCGGTTTAACGGCTATAGGCCCTTCATGTTCAACATCACCGCGGATTTCTGCAGATTCATGACGAACACGAACTCAAATGCTGTAGCTAATTATTTTTTTGAATTCCTAAAATCCCACTCCAACATAAACCACACATGCCCTTATGATGTGAGTATGTTCGCCGGTTTTATCTGAATTGATATATCCAGATGCCCTCTTAACAGCATGATCTGATCCTGGATAAACTGGATGTAAGCTTTGTAAATCACCATGTGACAAAAGTTCTACCTTTCCCGGAAGGCGACTACTTACTCGAAACTCATTGGATTGCCTACGGTATCGACCGGGCTGTGGTGAAAATATATGGAACTCTCTCCTAATCAGCTATGCATATTCTTTATATTATCTATCACAAAAATGGCGAACTGGTCTTATGAAAAAATCCCCTAGCCTGTAAATTCTGATTTACAATAAACTATCCGTTTTACTTTTACTTGTTACCCTAAAAGTGAACGGGTATTATATCCGTTTAAAGGAATGTATCATGTAGAAAAAAGCCGAGTTGATAAGTCGATGAGAATATCAATCGGATTTTACTGTATCGGTTTTAATCGGTTCCATCCGTATACGCTGAATATAGAATGTTTGATTCTGGATAAATCACGAAATGACAAAAGGTATGCTCTTCCCGGAAGGAAAAATATATTAGATTGCCTACGATATTGATCGAGCTGTGATGAAAGTATATAGAACGCTCCCCTAATCAACGATATATTATTTATTTTCAATTTTACAAAAATTTTGAATTGGGCCAATTATTCTGATAACTTAATTCGTGATCGTTACGCTCTCTAAGATTTCAAATTGGCTAGTTATTTTGTGCCTACTTCAAAGCCACAATGTATATCTATTCAATTCTGTAGTTCAGTAGTGAAAGATGTGGCCTAAACATAGCGAACTAATTGTGCTTTTTGCTCTTCTTTATTCAGTCGAAAAGGTGAACGATTATCAAGTGCATTAAATACATTTCTTTTATTAAAAAAATCACCCACCTACCCTTAGATAAAGGGGTATTCATTAAGCTTTTGAGTTATTATTCATTATAAAATATTTAAAATCGATTTATTTAACCATATGCTAGATATTTTCAAAGTATGAATTTACCAACGTCAACTGTACAACTTTGGATAAGGACTTTGCTGACTTCGAATATTGCTATTTGAAGTCGGTGAATCGAAGCTATAAGTATATGTCAATTAAAGTTAATTTGTTTAAAACGCCAATCACAAAAGTCAAGGTTTGTAGATATTAACAGCGAGAAGAGTGGCTTAACTACCTTTTTTGTTTTTAGTTCCGAGCAATGGTCTTTAAACGGTTTAGTGGCTACAGGCCCTTCATGTTTAACATCACTGTGGATGCCTGCAGGTTCTTGAGGAATACGAAGTCAAATCCTATAGCCGCGTACTTTTTGGATTTTTTAAAACCCTACTCCAATATGAATCACTCGTGCCCCTTCAATGTGAGTATATTTGTCGGTTTTCACAGCATATTCACAGTCCCTATCCATATCGATATTCCCAATAGCATGATCTAATCTTGGATAAACTGGATATCAACTTTGTTAATCACCAATTGACAAAAGTTCTACCTTTTCCGGAAGGCGATTACTTATTGGAAACTCATTGGATAGCCTACGAGATTAATCGCGCTGTGGTAAAAGTATATGGAACTCTATCCTGATGAATTATATTTGCAAAAAATGTTGAAATGGGCTAATTAAAAAAAAAAATAAGAAAAATATAAAAGGCATAATTTTGTCAAAACTGTTTGTTTCAAATTCGGTCAGAAAGTGGTAGGGATCGTTGGTTCCGCTAGTTAGCCGCTCGAGTCAGTATTCAATAGATAGTGTAAAGGCAGACAAAAGATTCAACTTTAGGTCAGCAATTTGCTTTCTGATTTGAAATCATTATTGTACTCGGCGATAGCGTTCCTTTTTACCTATACCTAACTTGGAACTCTTTTAATAACAACAAATTAAGTGCTTATGATAAAACAAATTGTTCTGATATTTTAAGCTCTGATCGTTACGGTCTCTGGATGATAATCTCCATTTAATGGCTTATAGCAATACAAAAGCGAAATGGGTATCTGTTCACTTGGTTAGATCAATACTGAGAGATGTGTCCTAAACTCGGCGGACTGATTGTGCTTTTTGCTCTTCTTTATTCGGTTGGAAAGGTTGAGAATTCAAAATATAAAAATAAATAAAATGTGTGCAAGAAAAACAAGTGAAAATTCTACGGTTTAAAATAAGCTAATAAATAATAATAAATATTTTCGATTTAATAATCTAACTTAAGAATCTCTTTAATTTATGACACTTTAAGATATCCTCAAAGTTAGAGTTTACCAACGTCAACTGTACAAGTTTGGATAACGACTTCGCTGACTTTGAGTATTGCTATCTGAAGTCGGTGAATCGGAGCTATAAATATATGTCTCTTAAAGTTAATTTGTTTAAAACGCCAGTCACAAAAGTCAAGGTTTGCACATATTACCCCTAAAATGAATGAGTTTCAAATATCCTCAATATTTTTAGTTCCATGGAAAGCTCTTTAAACGACTCAACGGCTACAAGCCCTTCATGTACAATGTCAAAGTGGATGCCTGCAGATTTTTAAATAACACGAAGTCAAATCCCGTGGTTGGGTATTTTTTTGAATTCTTAAAATCCCACTCCAATATGAACCACACATGCCCTTATGATGTGAGTATGTTTGCCGGTTTTATCTGAATTGATATATCCATATGACCTTTTAATAGCATGATCTGATCTTGGATAAACTGGGCTATAAACTTTGTAAATCACCAAATGACAAAAATTCTACCTTTCCCGGAGGGCGATTACTTACTCGAAACTCATTGGATTGCCTACGATATTGACCGAGCTGTGGTGAAAGTATATTGGACTTTGTCCTGATCAACTTTATCAACAGATAAATAAATTTTTAAATGTGATCCGTATATTTTGATCTTGGATGTTTTTTAATCAAGTTGACTACGAATGCCTGGTCTGGATACTGGGAAATATGTTTAAAGATTATGTAGTTACTGATTTCCTAGTTTTTATTTCGAGTAATCTCAATGGCGGGTTTAAAGCTTCTGATATTCAGATAACTACATAATCAAAACTAAATTTATTGTTTTTTTCTGGTTTATCGGAGCTACTAATGGCTAGGAGGGCTGATTACTGTTTACAAATGAATTTTTAATAGATTTACACAAAACTATAGGCCCCATGGAAACTGTTTAGCTTGGTTAGTTGAAAACGAAAGATGTGTGTCAGACGCAGCTTTTTAATCTTCCTTTTTGGAGTTCTGTGTTCGGTGGCGAAGGTAAAATAGACGTATTAAATGAACTCCAAAATAAAGTTATAATCTCCTTCAAGATCTCCTGCAAGTTTGAGTTCACAAATATACGGTGTGACACCTTGGATGAAAAGTTTGCCGACTTCGAATACTGTTATATAAAGTCGGTAAATCGAAGCTACAAATATGTGTCGATAAAAGCTAGACTATTCAAAACGCCAATTAAAAAGGTTAAGGTATGTGGACTAGAAAAAACATCGAGAATAAGCAGGGCAGACACAATAATTTTCAATTCCAAGGTCAATGGAGTCATCCTTAAGCGAAATATAGGATATAACGGCTATAGACCTTTCATGTTCAACATCACATTGGATGCCTGCAGGTTCTTGAACAATACGAAGTCGAACCCAGTAGCCAGTTACCTTTTCGACTTAATAATACCCTTTACGAACATGAATCATGAGTGCCCCTTCGATGTGAGTATATCCTTCCTAGGTGAATGCCCTAAGAACTGTGATTAACTTCTTAGTTTTGCTTACAGCATGATCTTATCATCGATAAGGTGCCCATAGCTTTCGTAAACAACCACGTCACAAGGGTTCTTCCCGTCCCAGAAGGCGATTACCTATACGAAACGAATTGGTTTGCCTACGACATAAAAAGGGCGGTGGTTAAAGTGTATGGAACCATATCTTAATATATATAAAGTCGTTATTAAAGCCTTTCAGTTGTCCATATCAAAGTTTTTTCAGTATAATTTTTGTCCATTGCATAAAATTCCACGTACGCTTAAAATTGGGATTGACCATCAACCGTATCAGAGTTAGGCGGGTATAATGGTTAATAATTGCTTTTATTATGTCATTCAAATATAGAAATCGATAAGGATCAAAATTAGTTTAGTCATTGATGTCGTTTCTGTCAAACATATTCTAGTTCTATCAGTTCTAAGTATATTTTTATACTCACCCTCCTTGAGGGAATCCCTTCCGCCGGACAGGGCGCCCACTGGCAAGGCGCCCGTGGGCGTCAGACCCTTCAGCTGGAGCACGCTCTCGGACTCCTCCCTGCGGATATATTCGAATATTGAATTATTTAAATCCATTCCAAGGATTATCAAGGACAGTATGCACCTGAGGATGGAGAAGACGCGCGACATCTTGCCGATGGCCCGAATCTTATTCCGTATTATCTCTTTGCGCAGCGCCGACATGGAAGCTGCGAATTGAGGGCTCGATTAAACGGAATTTCTCTGGGTCACGGGGTAAATGTAATGGAAATCAGCTGGAAAACTCGCGAAAAGCGGATCAAGGCAGGGCGCAAAGCTATCACTAAGCTTTTCTATCTTTGGCTCAGGCGTTTCTCAGCGGCTCAGGCATTTTTGGCAGTGGCATTTACATTGGCATTGACATTAGCATTGGCTTCGGCATTGACATTGGCTGTACTTTTTGGCTTTAACTTGGGCCTGCGCTTAACACCTGGCTTACCTGGCTTACTGGGCGTATTATTGTTATTGTTATTACTCGCGTTCGCCGGCACGAGCACAATTTTCTTGCGGAGCTCTGTTTGGTCGTGTTTTGGACGTGTTTTGAGTGGAAAAGTTGGTTGGTGTTGGTACATTTATTATATTATGGGTGGTGGTAGTAGATTGCAGTTGTTGTATTTCGGTTTTTCGGTTTGTTTCGGAAAATATTTTTAACAGAAGATTAGTTTGTAATACCCGTGTATCCGTTTATTGGCCCACAACAACCAAAGCACTACGACATTTACACACAGTCTACTTCGAGCAGAGCAGCTCTGCGGATCCCCAAACTTACCTTCCTCCAGCTCGTCATCGGGTCCTGCCACTAGTTCATCGTCCGAGCAAATGTTCAGGATGTTCACCAGCATTTCGGTTACCTTCAAACATAATATAAAGTTCACCAGTTACTAAATTTTTAGTTTTAAATAGATTTGTGAATATAAACAGAATATTACTCATTCGACACATGGGCCAAAGTTACAGGACCTAAAAAGTTGTTCCCTTACACTTTTAGATATCTTTTCGAACTATAAATCGTTATATACAGTGAAAGCCCGTTAGAATCATGAAATCCACCTGACTATCTGACTCACCTTCTCGCCCACGAAGGGCAGCGACCATGTGAAGACGTCCATGAAGTTGGGCAGCCAGTAGGGATGTGGCGAGCAGTTGAATTGGCGGATGTTCATCACGTTGTTCTCGTACTTGAGCACAGCTGCCTTTTGTCAAATGGTTTCGATGGGTTGACAAAATCAGCGCGAGCGGCAGAAGAGACGGGACAGGACGGAGAAATGCCGGAGAAAGAGAGGGAAATGAAAGTATTACGAACGCAGCGCGATTTAAACTCGCACCAGCTCGCAATGCAGCCAAAAAAGATTTCGTTATTTAAAAATAGCAAAGGAAAGAACAACAACAGCAAAATAAATAAACAACACAGAATGAGATAGAGATAGAGATAGTGATAGAGATAGAAAGAGAGAGGGAGAGAGAGGTCATACCTTGTTGTTGTAAACATCCAGATAATTGGGGGCGGAGAAGATAGTGATCAGCGAGGGAAAGCCCGTAACCTGGTTCTTTCGATACATGCGGTAGCTGGAAGGAAGGTTGTGGTTAGATAAGAACTGAGAAGCTTAAACTTATTTCAAGAAAATTATGAATGTGCCTAGTGCCTAGTATGCTACATCTTTATGTAAACTTCATTTTGAGATCTTACCCCGCATCCTGGGCCTCATGGGCCCTGACTATCGACAGAAGGTTGTTCTTCTGCAGGAACTCACAGCAGGCCGAGTAGCTGAAGAAGTAGGAGCAGCCGCGGACCGAGTTGTGGGAGAAGAACTCGTTGGTCTTCTCATTGCCAAAGTCCTCCAGAGGATCGGACCAGAGGAGGTCGCACATGGGACCGTAGGCCGGTGGTTCCCTAAAACGATTTAGCTAGGAATACCCCTGGCAGATGCAATATTTGTAAACATTTCGTCGTCGCTGGTTTATTACCGTCTTGATGTCATCGAGTGTGAAAATCTCGGGCGACAGGCCACCGTGAATACAGAGGAACTGCTGGTTGAGGAGGGCGGCGAGGGGCAGGCAGTCGAACGCCTCCATGCAGGCGTCGTAAATACTTTCCGAATACTTGATGATGCCTTCAACAGAGTAATATTAATTAATTAATGGGAGAAGGGAGATTTATAGCCTGCAATTGCACTTAAAAACACATCAAATGCCTTTGACAACAATCGTAAAGCTCGCTAGGCCGTAATATTCATTTTTAACGAGCGATCATAATTTGGTAATTAATTTCTTTACATTTCAATTCTCATAAGTGAACGTTTGAACTTGAGATCAAAGTAAAGCATTTATTTTTTATGAAATCTATTTTATTTGTATTTTTTATGATCGCATTTTTCATTCAAAAGACATCAAATATTACTGAATGATGTTTATAAGGTAAGTAAGGGGTAAGGGGCTAACCCCAACATTGACTTACATTCCTGTTTGAAGGTGAAGTACTCTGTGAGGTGCCTGCACTCGTGATTTCCTCGCAACAGGGAAAGTGTGGTGGGGTAGGTTATCTTCAGGGACCACAGGTAGAGAACACACTGAAAATGTAATATTTTAGTAATGCTAAATCGGGAATATTACTGGTCTCACGTGACCCACCTCTATACTGAAGTATCCCCTGTCCACGTAATCGCCCAGGAAGAGGTATCTGGTGGTGGCCGGAGGGCCGCCTACCTCGAAGAGCTTTACGAGGTCGAAGAACTGCCCATGAATATCTCCGCACACTGTTATGGGTGCCTCCACGTCGATCATGTTCTTCTCCTCGCGCAGCAGGGCAGCTCCTTCGGTGATGATCCTCAGGGCCACCGCCTCCTCGATGCGGCCTTCCAGCAGAAAGTGCTGACGCAGGGCGTCAAAGTTGGGTTTTCCGGTCTTTGGATCATCGTATACCTCAGACATAGTCAGTTTGTGGGCAGGAGGAAGTGGCACATCTATGGAGGCATATATTATAACAATCTTTGTAATTAACTTAAACAAATTATAGAATCTCACAAAAATTCAATCAAATTTAACAATAAAATGATGAAAATATGTTCATAAATATTGCTCCCATAGCATTGAGTCCCTCAATTCTTTCTGTGTAGGCTTGCATTGATAGAATTATAATAAACATTGCTGTCTGACGGCGATGTGGGTTAACGAGGTGCTGCAACTTAGCGCCAATATTCGGTTTGGCCGCTTTTCTTGGCCCGCCAATAAAGAAAACCGAAATTCCGCCAGATGCAGCCACATGAGGTTCGTACGCTAATTACAAAATTTGACTGAGTGAATATAAAAGTCGAAAATTGATTGGCACACACAAAAACAAACAAACGTAATCAGGCACACACACACACACTGCCAGCTCAGGGCGAACGCCATTTTTAATTGTCATAATTTGGGTAAATGTATGAAATTTTGACGCAATGGCCAATAAAATGCCAATGTGCTGCAGTTGTTGTTTGTTATGGGTGCTCAAGATAATTAAATTTATTTTTATTGGCCCAATAAACCTAAGAACAAAGCCAGGCACCGCCTTTTCTTCAAGGGTTTCCGCCAGCGATGTCAACTGAGCGATTAATTAAAACTACATATTAATTTTACGGCGGAAGTAAATAATTTATGACGTATAAAAAGTTAATTTCGCTGAATTTCTACCGATAAAGATTTTATATTTATTAATTTATATGGGGAGGGGTAAACCCTTTGTAGTTGAAAACTTAATGGTTTTAAAAAGCTAACGTTCGATCGAAGGGGTAATAATTAATATTTAACTATGACTAACTCCTAATAATGTTTACATTGAATGTTTGATTGTTTTATAAAAACAAAAGCTGAACGCTCGGTTTACTCCTCCTCAAGGAAGTGCAACCATTTTATTGTTTTGCAAATTACGAGCATGACTTCCCAATTTCGAAAACACACTTTTTCGAAATATTTCCCTCTAGCCACTGAAAAGTTCAAAGAAACCAATTTGTGAAGCCCTCAGTTTTGACATTAATGACGGCGGTCAGAACATCAGAATGCCATTGAAGCGTGATCGCTTGTCATTAAAGATACAATCGCAGGAGGGACTCGTGTCTGGGTTAATGCTTGATCTGGGTCCGGAATATGTACGTGCAAAGCGATCTTACCGTCGACCATGCGCTCCCTGGTCTTTGTATACTGCATTTTCTGTTTGTTCCCACTGGCGGCTGGCGAGGACTTCGAGGAACTCGCGGAGGACTTTGTGGACTTGTCGGAACTAGAACTTTTGGATAGCGACGACTTTCTCGTCACCGAACTTCGCGTGGAGGCCGACATATTGTTGGATTATTTATTCGGCCTTTGTTTTTTGTTTTTTGTTTTTATTAATTTTTGATGTTCTGCTGGCGATGATGTTGCTGCGATTCCCTAGCCCGATATATATTTTTTAATGGCTTGAGTTGGCTGAAAGTGTTACTAGCACAAGAATTTAGAAAATTATACGCCTTTGCCTAGCGTCTTTATGGACGGGAGACAAGCACACAACACCATACACCACACACCGAACACACAAATATATTTAGGCAATAAATAAAACTTGTTGTTATTATATTCTGTATAGCTGTGGACTTTCTTGTATTTTTAGCCAGGCAATGCCAATAGCGAGATAGAGACAACTTAGCCCGCGGCGCACACGAAACAAATGTTGAACAATTAATATTTCAATTTGCTGCAATTATTCAGAGACGTATTAACTTTTCATTAAGTCATCACATTGTTCAGCGGATGCTTTTGGCAAAGGGCAGCAGCACTTCAATTGAGACGGAAAATTGCTCGACACTTTGTACTAATTACCCACAAGGCGAGTGGCCACCGAAATAGCAATGGCTCTACAGATGGACGGGCAGACAGGCACTCATATATCACTTTGGTCACACTTTGTTTGCTCTTAGCTATTATTATTATTGCTATTGCTATTATTATTAATGCGATCTTCTGGCTAATCCTTTGGGGGCTCGGTGGGGCCTTAGTTTCGATGATTTTCACGGGACACGACGCAACGCATTTCCCAAGTTGGCGCGACGCGATTTTCCTCGAAACTGAGCAAAATTCGCTGGCATCGTTTGGCATTCAAAAGACCCAATTTGAAAGCCCGAAGAAGATCGGCCGAGATCGGCGGATCTCACGCCCTTGACTCCCACTCTCCGATGAAAATAAACACATGAATACACCCCTCTCTCGTAGGGTTCCGTCTATTTATTGTTTTATTGGGTTAATGTGACACACGCACTTCGGGATCCCTGGCTCCTCTGTCTTTTTCGCTCGCTGAGCTGCCCTTCTGCGTTCGTCGATCGGGCGACCTTCATAGACATTTACACATCTGTGATATGTCCACCCCGATGGCCCGTCCCCCTGAATCACCATTCCGCATCCACATCCACATCCGCTCTCAATGATTTTCAACTTGACCGTGATATTGATTGTGTGTGCGTGCGCCGTGCGTCTGTGTGTGTGTGTGTCTGCTAGAAATTGGGCGCCAATAGGTGGGTGTCGCTATAATTATAGTCTTGACTTTGTGCGCGCCTCGTGCAAAAATATATGCGTTCTATAATCAAACGGGTATGAGTGCTAGCTCATTAGACTTATAATGATTAATTCTTAGCTTTAAGTAGAAAAATAGATAGAAAATAAATCAATTAAGAAAATAGGAAGGAAACTTAATTGGTTTTACTCTTCCAAAATCTTACAATAAACGATATACAAATTCGAACCTTAAACAATGACAAGAAGTATTCGTCGGTCTGAAGTCTTTTCTTTGTGAAATAATAATGATTAATATTTTTACCTTTCTGGATATTCTATTACCATTTTTATCACCATTAACTTTTATTCTAAAATATTCCAAAATATTTTCCGGTAGGGCATTCGAAGTTCTCCAAGCCATTCAGTCATCCGCTGGTGGAACCAATTTCATGCAACTTTTATGCGAAGCGTGGCAATATTTGAACAACAATCTGTGTGGATGGCCACATAAAAAACACACTCACGAACAATATCATCGGGTGTGTGCTTGTGTTTGTCCGCTCAATGTTGTTTGTCGCGATGGTCAATTGATATGTATGGCTGGTGAAACGCTATATCGCTCGACAGATAGTTCCATAATATATGCTGGGAAGGATGTTGTCGCCCGATTTCGGGGCACTCGCAGTCTCTGAATCGGAATCGGCATCGGAATCGGAATCCATTGCAATGCCAATGCACTCGCGGCTAGCCGAAATGCGCATCGATGGCACTTGGATTTTCGATTTGGCAAAGAGCGGAGACGATTTTACTTTGACGCCCCCGCGCATTCGAAAATCGCAGAGAGACAAAAGCGAGTCACACGACCGCCGCAGACTAGAAAGAAATACTTTCCGGTGCTAACCAGTGGGTGGGATTTTGGGATTGTGGGGGGTTTTGGGGTCTTAGGGGGATGTAAGTGGTTCGGCGGGGTTGAGGAGGGGGCGGGAAGGGTTAGACCGATGAGAGCATTGCATTCTCGTAGCGAAATCTTGGCAAATGCGCTGACAGCTCGACCCAGTCCAGCCCCCTGTCCTTCTTGGGGTGTCCAATGATTATACTAGGTGCTGCTCCTAGAAGGGGTATTAAACTCTCGGAGGTGATGATATATGGCAATCACTTTCTAAAAGGCCAACAGAATCAGATAGATGTGGTTTAGATATATGTTGTTAAGCTTCATTGAATAATTATCCAAATTGTATCTAACAAAAGGGTTTATTATCATGTTTATAGTTCTACTTACATATTAAAACCATTTCTGATGTGTTTTTATACCAATTTATTTATATTGTTTAAACGGGTAATCCTGTTATTTGTGCCACTTTCCCATTTAAATATATACTCCGATCGGTGGCTAATAAAATAATCCGAAAATAGCGTTGGCAGCATATTTTAAGCGCAATTAAGAGGCAAGGCAGCCGCGGTCATCTGGCCGAGATTAAGTGGACGACAGTGGCAATTGATTCGCCTCTGAATTGAGGAGCAGCAGATCGCCACTGCTAAAGCTAAGCAATTGGATGCTGTGTGTGTGGCAAAAGGCAGGGGATTTGCTGAATAATTCGCCAGTCAAGTTGAGTCAAGTTGTTCGCATTTCACAGGCATTTCAGCGCCTGACACTTCGAACACCCGTTTCGTCATGTCGGCATGTCACAAAGTCTTTGGGCCGAAATACATTTTTCTTTTTTTGAAAATAGCAAAGTGCCGAAATAGCGCGGCCACTGGCCAAGTATTTTTAAAACAATGCTTATTTTATGCTCGCACGCAGCAGCCCGAAGTGCTCGCTTCCTCTCTCTCTTTTTGCACATAAACAAAACGCCACTGAAATAAAAAGATAATATTGACACGTAACGCAAACATTTCATTCATTGTTTGAACTTTTCCTCTTTTTCGCCAAACCCACTTGTTGTTGTTTAGCTTCTGGTGCTGTATAAACAATTCATTTGAATTATGTGACCACGGGCATGGGCTTATGTGTGAATGATGAAAGAGGAAACATTGGCAAATCACTTCCTTTCGGGCCGAATCTTAATTTAAATGAACTATTTGCATTGATTTTCAAGCAAACAAAGGCCAGGCTGAACCGCTAAAAAAGCTCAGCGAGTGCAGACACCCAACAGAAAGCTTTTCGAATCGAACAGCTCAGCAGAAATGTGCTCACACTTTTCCCTGGGAAAACTCTTCATGTCTGCGGCTGCCATTTTACAAATTGATAAACTTTTCAGTTATCATTGTTTATGTATCTTTCTGGCCCAAGCCTCCATTCCCTCTTAACCTTTTGACGCTCTCTCAGCCCTTTCTCCCCCTCCCGCCTCGGCATCATTGTTTTCTCTACTGACTGCCAAACATTTGCCAAGCCAAAGTTTTTCTGCTCACATTTGTTTGCTTGGGATTTGCCAAAAACAGAAGAGCCCAAGAACCAGAGCCAAAACTTCAAATATAAAAAGGCAGCACAAATTTTTATTGAATTGATTTATTGACTTACTTATTTGGGCGCTCAACGCTCATAGATAAGCGCTGGTTTGTTGTTGCCGGGAAAACCTTTTTCTCAATTTTCTTTGTTTTCTTGCTGTCAGTTGGCAGCAATAACAAGGGCCCAAAGTAAATATTTAGTTTTCATTTATACAATTTCCCCCAGCCTCGGTCTTGGCCTCTTTGTTCGGGGCCAATTTTGCGTTTAACTTTATTGGGGTTAATGCAAGTCTATAAAAACCCAGTTAATTGAAAAGTAACCAAAGGGATGTCTTCGGGGATTTATCTGGGCTGGCATTAAGCTTAAATCAGTAATATAATATAAGCTGATCGTGAATACAAATCAATTAAAAACAGCTCAAATTATCGGAGGTAATTATCCACATCGAATGAGCTATTCCTAATCCCCACAAACTACGTTTGACGAAACTAAAATTACACGCACTTTATAAGTCTTTATGAAATATTACAATAGATTTTCATCTCGGCAATAAGGGATTTTGATTGAATCCAACGAAGTTGAATGAGGTAACTTCCCTCTGGAATTGGAAGAATTTCTGTGACTCGGTGATTCATGAAGTCAATGGGAAGCTTTTCCAAAATCAAGTCGTGCTAAAAGTGAAGTCTTTTAATAATATTGATAGACTACTGAACTTCACTTACACTGTAGGGGCATGAATGGTTTATATTGGAATATTCTTGGAAGGAATCGAAGACGTATTTCATGACTGGGTTTGATTTTGGATTTCCAAGAAATCTACAGGCATCTATCGTTATATTGTACAGAAATGGCTTGTATCCACTTAAACGTTTCCACAATATGAAATTAATCTTTGAATTTTTAAATTAATTAATAAATAACAATCATTATTCGTTCGAAATTACCTTAAAATTCATAAAAGGGATTTGATTCAACTTATATCTTCCGGATATATATTTGTAGCTGCGATTCATAGACTTGAGATAGCAGTACTCGAAATCCCCGAGACTCTTCTTAAAGGAAGTGCATTCAAAGTTTGTGAACTCAAACTTGCAATCGATCTGGAATTAAAATACCATTTTGATCTTAAATTGAATTCATTTTTTAATTCTTACTTACTTCCACCACCAAAAGAACTATTAGCAGGGAAATTTCCTTGGATCCCATCTCGCGTTTCGGAGGAACAAATCAATACTAACTAACTAGCAACGAGAAATTGAAATCAGAGTCGGAAAAAGCAATCTAGATAAGCTTAAGTGGATAATTTTCAAAATCATTAAAATGCAGATATCAATTAAACATTAATCAGGGTGAATGACGATTCGATTCATGGTATAATGAAAGTAATTAAATATTATATAATACTTTCCATTTTTATTGATTATGATTTAATTTCTTGTTTCTCTAAAATCTATGAAAGAGTTCCGTAAATCTCGGCCAGGGCAGTCCGGTTTTTAGCAATGAGCCAGTACAGTCTAATGAGGTAATCGCCTTCCGGAAACGGAAGCACATTAGTAAATCGGTGATTAACAACGTCGATTGGAAGCTTTTCCAGTATTATATCGTGCTTAATAAAAGAATGATATGATTTTGTTACGATCAACAAGTTAATGCACTTACATTGAGGGGACATGAGTGGTTTAAGTTTGAGAAATTCGAGTGAGAGTCGTGAATAAACTTTATCACGGGATTCGGCTTACGGTTGTTCAGGAATAAGCAGACATCGAATGTTATGTTATACATAAAGGGCTTGTACCCATTGAATCGTTTCCAAAGAGCCACATTCACCTTTAAGGAAGTAAACTTAGTAGTTGTGTCCCGATTAGCGGCAGGTACTTACCTTAAGTTTGCTTATTGGGAGGCTTTTGGGCTTAAATCTTCCGGAAATATACTTATAGCTGCGGTTAATTGATTTCAGGTAGCAGTACTCAAACTCCCCGAATTGTGGGTCGTAAGACTTGCATACAAAGTTTGTAAACTCAAATCGCGATTCAATCTGGAAATGTCAAACTAAGATAATACTTGGATAATTTGCAAGAATTTAAAAAATACCTTTATGGCCAGTGCAGAAATGAAAAAGAGAAAAACGGACTTCGAATACATCTTCCAGTCGCGTCTTTCTAACACATACTGAACTCATTCCCTTTTCAAATTGTATAGTTTAGTACAGCTTTATACGCTGTATAAGTATATACACCTCAATTAAAAGCAGATTATAAAGTATTTAGTAGAACATTAATGTGACGATTTGTATCACATTTACTTGGTATTGGGTAGTTGGAAAAATAAATTCAGGGAAAGATTCAACAGTTTAGTAAACATAGGCTTACATAAAGTTTGTAAGTCGATTTATTAAAACAGTTTTCCTAAATTCTGAGCTGCTACTTAACGCTTTCCCTTATTTCCACAAAAAAGCAGAGGAAAACAGTGTTTCTTAGGTATTCTTGTGGATCCAAAGATATAATCCTAGACTTGGATTGTGAATATCCATTTGAGCAGTTAAGGAAGACTCTTCACGAATCGTTTATCTCGTTTCGACCACCAGTTGACCAGTTTTAGGCATCGGGTCCATATCTACGACACGGAATCCATCAACATGCCCCTCACGTTGGAAGCATTAATTTGCACACATGATAACCAGGCAAACCCGGGATTTCCCCGAAGCGCTGTGGGTAATGCAGGTTGCCGCTAGATTTGCTTTATATGAGCTGCAAATTGGCTGCTCACGTAAATGATTTTCATTTTCCAATCATAACATTACACGTGCCTGCACTGCCAATACTCAGTCATCTGCCTGGGAAAATATCTGGAAATCCGGTGAGTTGAATGGTGAGGGAATCCGTAAACATTTGCGGGGCTCACAATTTGGCTGCCGCTGATTACAATGCGGTGAATTGAATTAACATATTGGCCGGCGGGCTGAATTACGGCCAAAAGCTGAAGGCTGAGACCTGAGAGCTGGAAGCTGGAAGCTCGGGATATGGCTTAAACTGTCTACAAATAATTTTCCGAGTGGGAGATGTGGGCGGCATTGCCATTATTTATGGCCCCCGTGCGCGACTTGTTTGCCTTTTGTTAATGACGAGGCGAAAGTATAAAGCACAAAGTGCCGACAATTGGCAGCAGCTGAAACGGGAGCAGGAGCAGGAGCAGGAGCAGGAGCCTGGAGCAGGGGCAGGAGCAGGATCCTCCGGAGCTGTGAAGCTCGCAAAAAAGTTAATTAAAAGTGCAATCAAGCAGCAGCCCGGACCGCAGAAAGAAAGAGAGGTGTCGGGGACCATAGAAGGAGAGGAGCGATAGGGCATCAGGTCCTGAACGATGCTGACATTTTGCCTGCAACGGAGACGACAAAAATAGATGAAGGCAAGGAAAGCAATTTTTACACATAAAAATATTAAGTATCATATATCATATCAAAATTAAAAATCAGATTAAAAATATGTGTCTTGGAATCTTGGAATGCTAGTAAAGTTAGTTTTATTAACAGCCATATAACTTGACCAACAGTTAGTGGGTTTTACCTCAGTGCATCCCAGCATGGTTCTTGGGGTCATATGTAGCATGTTGTATATAAGTCCCATCTCAAATACGAGCACGTTTAAGGGGGGCGAGATGGAGGGGGTGTAGGGTGCACAGGGGACGGTGCCTACCTGGCGCATCGCACAAATTGCTGCAATTATAGACGCCATAAATTATAACAACTTAAAGCTTAGGTAAACGAGGCAAAGCCAGAAAATAGACGAAATGATAAGAGGAGCAAGGAAGCGGAAGCGAGGATGAGACGAGACTTTGGAAAATGCATTTAATTGATTTCACTGCTCGTCCTTGGCTCTCCTTGACAGGCAATATAATTTTTATTGCTTCTCGTTTCCTACTATTTCCCACATTTTTTTCACCGCTTTTTCCCAGGTGCCAAAGTTTTCCTGATTATGATTTATGGGCTGGAACTGCTGATAATAAAAATAAATTTACGAGTCCTGCAACTTTGCAGGATTCTTTTATTAGTTTTACATTATCATAATGGCTTGAAAAGTTGGTTTGTCATATAAACACGAATATGTTGAGGTAAAGAAAGAAAGAACAGCTGCTTTACTACCTCTCATTGGTACTCCGTTCCTTAACTATACATAAAAATGATTAAAGAAATTAAAAATAATTTTACTACATCCCTAATTTAGAGTTGATGGCAGACAACGGGGAAATCAATCCTATTGGCTTGAACAAAAGCCGTTTATGTTCAATCAAAATGTGTCTGAAACTTAATAGCTTGGGGAATTCTTGTGGTTTTTGAACTGTCAACACATCAATTAATTAACCATCAGGACCGCCTTCACTGCTCGCCCTGTGAGTTCCCCTTGGGTGGGCAATCCGAAGGCTGCGGTTGTCATAATTACCGAACCCATCGCTCAAGTTCAACTACTCGGACATCGGACATTTGACATCGGACAAATGAAGTCGTAGGTTGGGCTTTACTCGGTTTTTAAGACCAGTATCCCTTTGTTTCTTAGTGTCCGCTCTTAATGCCCCATAAAAGATGGCCACAAGCATAAATATCGAGTAATTACGAACTCTGACCTTGGTCGGTGAGTGGTTTTCAGCATTTTGATTCAATTTCCTGCTGAGCTTTGCTTGCGGGCGGCCAATTAAAAATAATTTAATAGCGCGTTGTAATAATTCCGTTTCCACTCCTTGGCTCTCTGGCAAATTTAATAGCCATACCTCTGGGGCTTCCTGTGGCTTGTCTCGCGTCTTCTATTAGTTTGCAAATCATATTTATTTATTAATTCTAATTGCATTGGCCAGGTGGAGAGGCGGAAGAATCGCTCGAGAAGGCAGCCGGCAGCTGTGGATTGTCTAACAAACGTTATTGCATTTCAAAGTCAAGAATGTGGAGGCGCTCTGTGCTACCCTTTCTGTGAAATGTATTTACCTTTAATAGCATAAGTTCTTTGAATGAAAATATCATATTAAAAGTAAAGAGAACAGGTTGATTCAGCTCCCCTAAGAACCCTTTTTCAGATTACAATTTAATACCCAGCTCGGAGTATTTATTTATCCACATTGGTCAGTTTTCTGCCCTCAGATGTATCTGATTTCGGGTGAGGGTATGAACGACTCCAGGCATTTCAGTTACCAATTTAGCTTGCTTTTCCAATTCCATTTTGCCCTGTTTGCCGGAGATATGTCTGTGTTTTGGGCTTGTATGCCCTACACTCCGGCAACAGCAACAGCTGCAGATGAAAATTGCAAATGAAACTTAGCTGCGCTCAGCTGAAGTAAGCTGAAGTGGAAGGCAGGGTGAAGTGGGGTAAGCAGGACTTGCAAGTGCCCCTGAGCTGGCTTGAGATCCTCCGGTCGATGCACAAATCAACGTTAAGTGCATGTAACTCTCGCACACACACCCACGCACAGAGTCCTCCGGGTGGCCTTTGCACTTGTGATGGTGTCAAAGTTGCATGTTATTGCATCAACATTATTTCTTCCTCTCCGAACCTGCGTTGGTGTGCGCCATAAGGTACACGGGTATGGGTCCATGTTTACACTTCGAATTAGGGTGGAACATAACACAGGTACAAGCTGCAATTAGAACACACCAACCCCCCCGCTAACTTGAATGGCTGGGGAGCAATTAAAGCTGAACTTAATATGTAATAAGCAAAGTGAAACTAATAAATTGCCATTTGTACCTCGAATAGAGGGTCCCTAACTTCCAACTGATATCCACCCTAATTTTCCCAGATATATGCACGAATTTTGAAATGTTTGTTGGCTTTGAGGTTTCTTTTGCGGTGTGCCCCATGTTATCGTTTTTGGCCAGAAAACTTTTTGCCATCTTCGTACACTGATTAATTGCATTTCAAGTGCTAGGGGGCGTAGTGAAAGGGAGGGAGGTCGATGGGCGGTGCAACCACAAGTGCAAACGAGCCAATTCATTAGCACCATTCGACACAAAATCCGAATTAACCCAATCTCAGTGGACGGGTCGTCCGGTTAAGTCGGAAACTCACTTTTAAAATTGCTCATAAACTTTTTCAATTTCAGCGGGGGCTAAAATGGCAAAAAATAATGGCGGAAGCGGTGGAACCGGAATAACGGAAAGCCGGAAAAACAAGCAAACTCGCCGGAGTGCTTAACCAACATGCTGGAAATGTAGACATCAACCGCACCCGAAGCGCCCCAATGGCCCAAATGAAGTGGAACTTCTGGGGGCCACAAGACCCCTTTCGAGCCCCCTCGAAGTCCCTCTGTGGCAGCTATTTTATGCGCAATGCGTGCCCCGACTGCATGGCAGGAAAAACACAAATCGAAGATGGAGTGGAATGCCAACAATTGGCAACAAAATCGGAAAAACAAGGGCGAGTTCCCTTGCCCTACGCAAAGAGTCAATTGTTTTTCGGTCCCTTGGGCTAGAATGTGGGCAAAATATTATTGTCATGCGATGATGCCACAAATTTAAGACAAAGCGGAACCACTCTCAAGTTTAATGTTTCATTTCGATGTGCTTTGTTGATAGAAAACTAAACTGGTATAACAATATGTCATCAGCACTGAAAATAACTATAACATTTTGGATTTTAAGTTTATTTAAACTCAAATCATAGCTTCCGCTTTCCCCTACGGCACATCAAGTTTTAATATACCAAAATTTACAATTATAACCTTATAACAAAGTTTATAACAATTATACATTTAATCAACTTGAATAGAATAGTTTTAGCATCAATTGTTTTGGGAAATAAAACCCCCCATTATGCCCAGAAAAATCATCATCACCATCAGAGTTATTCCCCGAGCTGCCAGAAGTTCTCCTTCAGCGATTCTCGGACTGCCTTTCCACTTTCCGACTGGGGCAACTTCAATGCCCTACACCTTTTCCATGTGGCAACATCGTACACTTTTGATGGGAAAAGTTTAATAGCTTTCGACAATAAAACTTCACCTATTATGTAACAAAGCCCAGAACTGAACAGAACGCTTACCGCCAACGACTCCATCGTTTTTCCCGTTCCAAGGCTCCACGTTCCTCCTGATCGACTCACGGGCTAGTGATGCACTGGGGGAAATAGGGGAACTCTGATATATTTCAGGGAATTCTAAATGCA